TGACCATGGTCATTCTCCCAAAATTGCTATACAGATTTAATGCACTTCTAGTCAAAATACCATTAACATACCTCAAAGATCTAGAGAAATTCCTAAAATTATTCTGGAACCAGAAAAGACCTAGAATAACAAAGGCCATCCTAGGCAACAAATGCAAGGCAGAAGGCATCAGAATCCCTGACGTGAAGTTATACTATAGAACTACTGTGACAAGATCAGCATGGTACTGGAATAAAACAGACCTAAAGATCAGTGGAATAGATTAGAAAATAAGACCACAACTACTAACACACTAAGCTGCTTTTTCTTTGACCAAGGAACCAAACATGTCCCCTGGAAGAAAAATAATCTCTTTAAGTGCTTCTGGGAAAACTGTTTTCTCATGTGCCAAAAACTAAAACTAGACCCATGCCTGTCACCACTTGCTAAACTAAAGTCAAAATGTATCAAAGATCTAAATATTAAAACAGACACACTAAAACTTCTAGAAGATAAAGTAGGTAGAAATCTTGAAGACGTAGGAGTAGGTAGAGAATTCATGAACAGGAATCAAACTGCATCGGAAATACTTCCCAGAATCAACAACTGAGATCTTGTCTTATTAAAAAGTTGTTGCATGTCAAAAGAAAATCTCCAACAGAGTGAAAAGTAAACCCACAAATTGGGAAAAAAATAACTTAGTCAACTGTCCCTCAAACAAAAGACTTCTGTCTACAACATATAAATTACTAAAAAAAATCAGACCCCTAAAATTCAGAGACCCAATCAATGGGCATCTGTGATGAATATGCACTTTTCAGCTGAAGAACTACAAATGGCAAATAAATGTATGAAAAAATGTTCAGCATTATTGGTCATTAGAGAAATGCAAATTCAAACAACACTGAAATTCCATCTTACTCCAGAAAGAATGGCCAGGATCAAGAAAAACACCAATAACAAATGTGGGAGAGGATGTGGGGAAAAGGAACTCTTCTGCACTGTTGGTGGGAGTGTAGACTGGTACAACCACTGTGGAAATCAGTGTGGAGATTCCTCAAAAAACTGGAGCTGGAAGTCCCATTGACCCAGCTATTCTACTTCAGAGCATATTTCCAGAAGAACTGAAAACAGAATCCACAGTGATACATGTGCACCCATGTTTATACTAGCACAATTTGGAGTAGCCAAATCTTGGAAACAACCTAACTGCCCATCAACTGAGGAATGGATAAGAAAGAGGTAGTATTTTTATGCAATGGAGTACTAAGCTATAAAAAATGATCACATTGAGGCTTTTATAGGTAAATGGGTGTGACTCAAGGCCATACTCATAGGTGAGATAAGTCAAAACTCACATGTGTCAATACCATATTGTCTCCCTAGTGTAAGAAACTGAAAGAGTATATAAGATAGAAAAATCTTCAATAAAGATTGTAAAAGGGTAAGAAACTGCTCAAAGGGGAAAAAATAATTCAAGGAAAAGGAGAAAAGAAGGGAAAAGAAGATATAAATGTGTAAATATATATATACTTAAGATAGCTAAAAGGATTGCAACTACTAATTTATTAGTTCTTGGACAAAACAGTTAACATTCATAGAATTAAATCAGTTTTGCATGTTGGTATCTGGTAATCTGAGTAACTCTTTTGAGATAACTATGCACAATAACAAGCTTAGTTTTGTTCCTACCACCTTGTTTTGAAAGCCCATGTTATTATTTTGGGCTCTTTGTTATTATTTATTTCTCGTTTATTTGTTATTTTCCTTTTATTTTGTTATGTTTTTCTGTCTAAATAATGGATAAATGTACTTATATAGGCCTATACATGCCTAGAATTTCTCCTAAAGAATTTACAATTGATTTTATTATATGTGATGGTATGAACAGCTACTTTGAAGAAAACGAAACATTATGGTAGCCATTGCTGATTTTCTATCATCTTCTTTTGAAGTCCAATAATGCTTGTGTTTTGTATGATTTAACTTCAGTATACCTGAGGTATGGAAAGATGTTTTGAAGAAAACAAGACACATTATGGTAGCCATTGTTGATTTTCCTATTGCCTGATTTTGAAAGCCCATAATGCTTTCTTTCTTTTGATCAGGTTTATACTAATTTGTTTTGTTTGAATTCATTGTGTGTGAAGATATGGACAACTATTTTGAAGAGCTGCAGACATGGTAGCCACTGTCAATTTCCTGTTATCTTGTCATGAAATTCTGTGTTTCTTGCATTGTTTTGTTCTCATCTGCTTTGTTCTGTTTTGTTTTGTTTTATTCTCTTTAAAATAAAAACATAGAGAAATAAAAGGTTTCCATTCCAATTCATATTACAAAGAAACTATTAACATTTATGGGAGTAAGTCTGCCAAAAATATTCACAATTTATATGAAGAAACTATAAAACTTTGCTGAAAGACATAATTGGAATACTTGAATAAATAGTCATCTGTGTTCCCAGGTTACAAAAATCAATATTGTGAGATTGTCATGACTCCCAGCATTAAACCAAAATTCATCTTCCCAAAGAACATACCAGTTTGATTTTAAAATATAATTTACCATATTTATTTCCAATTTCATCTCGAAGAGAAAATTGTGTATCAGTCATCACAAATATTTTCTAAAAGATTGACAACGAGAGTCTTTTTTTACCTTATGAATATCAAAACATACTCCAAGGATATAATATTAAGAGTATGGTGCTGAGTAGAAAAAAAAACAAAATCAGAGATTTTAAAAAACAATTGAAACATGCTTTCCTGTTCTACTTTCCATCTAGTCACATATTCAAGTCTGATGCTACCAGCCTACCTAGTAATGTGACTGTTCTGAAATCAGGCCAGTCAGGACAACACAGGGAAATTGTTCAGTTTGTACCAATCTGTTTCATTTGAGCGGTACCAACGTGTTTTTTTAGACTGTGTTATTTATTATACTTATCAAGTCCAGGCAGTAGAAGTAGCAACAGGTTGGCAGTACCAGAAAACCCTTTGAACACTCAGACTCTATTTTTATGTGTAGATCATATTCTTCCCATTCAGAAAGTGGTTTTTTCTCTAGGATACAAACCATTCCCAAATTCTTCCCTAAGCATCTTTAAGGTGATGCTAAATAGACTTGGGGTATCACCCAGTGCTCTTTTGTATAAGGTGTTGAATATTGCTCCAGAACTCACACAGTGGAGTTCTAATGAAAAACTTTTTGTGTGGTGAGATTTTTTTTTTTAGAGGATGCAAGTTTTTCTGTAGTTCTTGTTTTATATCACTTCATTGTAGAGTGAATTAGAGGCAAAAATCCCGGGCCAGAACTTTAAAACTGTAGGAAAGTAGTAATGAGTGCTTGAACAAAAATAATAATATAATGATGCTTGAACAAAGGTGTTGGCAGTAGATGTATGTGAGGAATTAGAAGGGAAACTGCAAGCTTTATTAATTGATTGTTCTCAAAAGTGAAGGAGGAGAAGGAGTTAGCATTAGCTCACACAAGGTACATCAAATTCCCAGGCAGTAAACAGATTTGGTATGCTGTGGCAAAGGATTCACTGTGCTTAAGGAAGGGAAGTTTGATTAGCAAAGACAGGCACCTCAGGAGAAATAACTGCAGCATCATGTGGAGGCAGAATTTGTAGAACAAGTGCATATTAGGTTCTAGCAAAAATAGACATTATGAGCAAATAATTGTGGTAGAGAAATTAGACTGAGACATGACTTGAGATTGTAGTAAAAACACAATGGGTGCTCCTTAATTAGTGGTCACTGCTGAAGTTCACTGAAGATAAGTCAGGGTTCACTTGGGTCACTCATAGTCCTTAGGAAATGGCCTACCTAGAACAAAGCGAATTATGGCTTCCCTGCCCTGAGAGGAAGAGGAACCTCCTGGGATAGATGGCGGAAATATAGCTACGGTCTTTAGGACTGGCCAGGGGATTACTGCCCATTTCTGTCATTGCATTGTTCAATTTCTCATATTTTGCCCATGACAGAGCCAAGAGAATTTCCCAATGCCTTTGAACTGCTTGAACAGTTGTTATTAAAATACTATCAAGCCATCTTGTCTCTGGCATTTAAGTAACTGTAAACTGCCTAGAAGCAAATTGATAGTATGTACAAGAAAGTTTACTTTCACTATTCAGTTCTACTCTTAGGGATTAATCCCAAAGAACTATTTGTGAATACTTCTATATGGCTTCAAGCCTGGTTATTATGTCTTTGTTTTATAATAGTAAAAATATTCTTCTACAATTTCTAGAAGTGATTTCCTACTATAATACTCAAATAGGAAAATAACCATGATATATTTATAATCATAAAAGATTATATTGCTGAATAGTGCATAAAGTATAATCTCATATTTTGACAAAAGAAAACAAACTTAATTTTAAATTCTATTTCCAGTTGTTTATATTAACTACTAGAATATTTAGTGACACAGAAAAATGGCCTTGTATCAATTATTAATGAGTTCAAATGAATAACTGTTGAACTGTATATGTGGTTTAATTCCATTTCTATAGCCAAGAATAATAGAATAACTATTACCTATATTTTAAAATTCTATTTTCTTTTCCTTAGTAATTGTCACGAACAGCGTATTCAGCTTTTCAGTTTCTTCTTTTTGGATTTTGGTGACAGACTTCTTAAATAAATAAGCTAATATACAGTGTATAATAAATACCCAGCCAGTGCAGGTGTTCTGTCTAAAGATACTATAGACTTCGTGATTTAATCTTTTCTACAGCTAAAATTAAAAAAAAATTCACAGATCCTCTGAAGCACTAGTTTAAAAATCTTGAAACTCTTAATGACATTCATGGGTAGGATGTTTCAAACCTTAATTCATTTTATTCTGTGAACAGTTTATTTTTTATAAAATGATTAAGGGTATTCACAGACATAATATTTTTTATTTTACACTTTTTCAGTTTGTTAATTTAGTTTTAATGTAACTCAAAGTATTTATCTTCTAGAAGGGAGTGTTGTTGCACACGTCCAAATTTACTGTTTTCTTCACTTCAGGTTGCTGTTGGAAGAACAGATATGGAAGACTTAGACCTCTGTGCTACCTCTCGGGAGAGGCGATTTCGTTTGTTTGCTTCTATAGAATGTGAAGGGCAGTTATTCATGACTCCGTATGATTTTATTTTGGCTGTTACAACAGATGAGCCCAAATGTAAGTATATAGTTTAAGTAGTCTTAACAGTTTTTCCAAACTTTATTCTTCTTTTTTGTATGTATGGAGCAGAGCACAGTTTTTAGAATAACTAACAAAATAACATATTTCAAAAAGGCAATATGCAATATAGTGTTGCCAGACTACTATTTCTTACAGACCTTTACTCATCTCTCTTCTCTTTAGAAATTTTCAGTCGCTCCTGTTTTGACATAAAGCAAGCTTTAGCACTATCTTAATTTTGATATTCTTTCTAAGAGATTTATATTTTGCATGTTCATTTTTATACCCAATCTGAACAAAGTAACTCAGAGGACCAGCTTTAAAATTAGCTCTGGCCAAGACTTCTACTTACGTCTCTTCTGTATTGGTCCAGCTCCCACAGTGTTAAATGTAGGATGAGTGCCACAGCAGTGGTTCTCAAACTTTTTGACATTAGACATACTCTAGTAAATCTTTTAATACTTAGCTTAATAAAAGAAAGTTGGATTCTCATTGGGCTTTTATATTTTATCTAATGTGCTGTTTTTCATGAAATGCATGAATATAGAGATAGTAAGAAAGAGAATATTTTAATTGCCTTTTCTAAAAATTATGGTTGATGTTGTATCACAACTTGGCTGTTAAGCCTCAGAGGTGTTGGTGAAAGAGCAGAGAGCACAGAGGGTTTCTGGCTGGCTCACCTGGATGGATGATCCAGGAATGAGGTTTAAGGAGAAAATCACTAGTTCAGTTTTTGACACAATGCATTTGATTTGCATAAAAGACTGGGCAGTTGGATTTGTCTCCTAATTCATTTCATTTCACTGGAAAATGAAAAATCAAAAATCAGTATACTACCTAACCAGTTGTTTAATTTGCTTGAAACTGTCACATAAATACTTTGAACTAGATTAAAACAATTATAGCCATTTTTCCTCCAGAGGCAAAGACATAGCAAAATCAAACTTTAAAATAAATTCTCAATAATTTGGTAAATTGGCTTCTTCACAGACTAGTTTTTGATGAACTGTTTTTAATAAACTAATACCTTGGATTATTTCCACGGGAGATTAAGGGAAAATATTCATCTGTATTTGATTGATAATGCAATGTGTAAGGATGAAGTTGCCTAGGGAAACAGTATGGTGTGAGCATATAGATGACCAAGGACTAATCCTTGAGGAACACCTACTCTTTAAAAGATGAATATGCAAAGGTTGAAAAGGACAAGCCTTAAGACAGAAGAGAGTCCAGAGCTAGGAGAAGAAAATTAGAAGAGTATAGAGTCAGAGAAGTCAAGGAGAATGGCCAGAAAGGTTGAGTGGAATTGCTACAAAGTCAAGTTAGATAAGGATAGAAAAATGAAATAATATGAAAGTTACCAATAATTTTTTAAAATGGATTCCAGTGGAGTGAATAAGGGAAAGACCATATTGTAGAGATGAGTAGCAGATGAAGAAGACAGTGAATGTTAATGCTAACATTTTTTGAGATACTATTTGACCACTAAACTAAAAGGACATGCAGCACCAGAGGAATTTGAGATAGAGGCATGATTATGCAAGATTTTAATCCATTAAAATACATTTTAAAAAATTGTTTTGCTGGAGACTATGAGGATAGTATCTAAAGTGGGATAAATTGTGAATGAAGAAACACAAGGAGAATATTGGTATATTCACAGCATGCACTTTGAGATTGTAGAGCAATAGTGATAGAAAGGCTAAAAATTAAATATGATTCTTTTTAAAAGTAATGTGAAGGCTATGGTAAGACTTATAGTTAATTGATTGTCTAATGTAGATTTTTAAATTTGTATTAATTAGTCAATACTACTAATATAAAAATAGTAATAGCTTCTTGCAGATTTTTTGAGAATCCATGAATAAATTGTGTTTATATGTAGTGAGCATTTAATGCGTGTTAGTATCTATAGTCATCATCATCACTTGAATTTACAAGCATGATTTAAACTTTTTAAAATATAGTGTTATAATGACATTCAACAGGAAAAATGATGCAGTGTATAAATACAATAGTAGTTGATTGTTACAGTGTTTTGGAAAACTAGGAAATTTGTTTTATCACTTTTTAATAACATCTAAAAGGTGGATTTCCCTTGTAGAGCTAAAATCAGTAATTATTTTTACATACCATCAAAAATTATCTTATTTAGATTTTTAAAAATATATTGTTATTTAAAATTTTTAGTAATACAAGGAAGTATTAAGAATAAAATGAACATAAACCTACAGTTTAAGAAATAAAATATTTCCAGTAGAATTAAAGTCCCCTTCTCCACTTAACTTGTATTTATATAGATAGCAACTCCATATGAAATGAAGAACTTATAGTCTAAAAATCCTTTGAAAAGCTATCTTAATGGCTCTTTAGTCTTTTTTTTTAAAAGCTAGTAGAGTTGAATATTGTATGTCTCTGGTAGAAGGACTATGTCTCCATAAATAATTTACCATGAATATCTCATAAACCCTTCAAAACTGAAGAACGTATATAACTTCCTCTTTTGATAATTAGATTCTGAGCATTGCATAAGAGCATGCACCTGTACTTTTGTGCCATTTACTTTTCTTTTTTCTTACTGCTACATTTCAAAAATCATAAGTATTATTTACATTTTGAAAGTGTCATTATGAAATGAATGCGTATAGTCTACACAGTTAAGTTTACATGCTAAGTTCTAACTTACAGACCTGTGATTTTAACTACTTGATTACATATTTATATAAACTGTCTTGGGTGAAGGATGTTGTAACATAGAAAAGACATTTATTTATCTCCGTGAAAATCAATTTGCTAAATTTTAAAAACTTAGTTCCTCCCTGTCAATCATAAAATGAGTTTTGTATTGCTTTTAAAAAAAGGTGCACAGGGCCTGGGGGTTTAGCTCAGCGGCATAAGCACCTGCCTTGCAAGCAGGCGGTCGTGAGTTCGATCCCCGGTACCGGAAAAAAGAAAAGAAAAAAAAAAAAAGTGTGTGTGTAACTGACATTAAAAAAAAAAAAAAAAAAAAAAAGGTGCACAGAAAAGAATACCTTTAAAATGTTGAATTTGATGCATTATTAATTATCCAGAAATAATTCCATTGACACATTGAAAAAAATATCAGTTGTCACTGTAGAAATGCAACAAATTATTATTTACAAGTTCTCCTATAATGCAGCTCTGTTACAGATATGTTACTGGCTCATTGCATACCAGTACCGACCTGGAGATTGTTCTTAGGCAGGTATTAGGTACTCCAATTGTTTTTTGTTCTGTTTTGTTTTGTTTTCTGTACTGAGGATAGAACTCACGACATGGCGTCTGCCAAGCAGGCACTTATGCCACTGAGCTAAGTCCCAGCCCCAACTCACACTGTTTTTACTAATCTAGTGATTATTGCTTAGTATAGACAATTTATGGCTATGATACAATGATACAAACTAGTAACATAAAATAATATCTTAGATTCAAATCTTGAGGTTAAAAAATTTACCTTAGAACATGGAAGTTTGGTTTTGAATTATGGTTTTAGATGGTTGCTAAATATGGATATACATTACATGACATATTTATTATCTAATTGTTCTATATTTATTTTAGTTGCTAAAACGTGGAAGTCACTTTCCAAACAGGTAAGTTAAAGCTCTTGACATACATACGCTTGCATATATATACATACATACATACATTTTTATGTACTTTACATGTATAATTTTGCAATTAAAATCAGATCGTGTAATTTAAACTTTTGTATCTGATTTATTTCATTTAATATTATGGTCTCAAGGCACAATCCATTTACCTGCAAACATTTCACATGTATCCCTCTTTGTGGCAGAGCAGTACTCCATTGTGTATAAATACCACATTTTCTTTATTCTCTTTCATGAAAAACCCAAAATATAAATAAAGAGAAAAAAAACACTTAAATAATAGAAAGTAGATAGACCTTTGTCAAATTGAAAAGGGAACAGAAATAGAAGGGGAGAGAGAAGGAGGAACAAGGAACTAAAAGGGAATTGAAAAAATGGAAACTGAGCCTTCGTAGATGGGAATGGGAACAAGAGTTGGAGGAAGGAAGCAGGGAGGATGGTGATGGAAGGGGGCAAAAAAGGAACTAAAATGTATTACGGAGATGCAGTCTCCCCTCAGTAAATGTAATCATTAGACATGCTAATAAAAGAATCAGATGATAGTACTTTTTTTATCCTGCAGAGGGTCAGAATATAAAAAGATGGACAATTCTAATGACTGGTCAAGATTAAGGATACATCTCATGTGCAAATGTAAATTGATGTGTTCTCTTTGGGGAACAATTTGGTATCATTTACTAAAATTGAAGATGTACATTCACTATAACCAGCAATTCCATGCCTGGGTTTCAATTCTATGACAGTGCATGCACATGTACTTATTAAGATTACATTTGAATGTACTCTGTGACCCAGTAGTTTCAGACCAATGTATACACCAAAGAAACCACTTTTTATGCACCAGAAGTTCACAAAAATGTTCATAGTTTGTTTATTATGGTAAAAAAACATCATAATAGTAGGAATAATAAATTTTGATATATTGGTATAGTAAATGCTATGCAACAGTGAAAACAAGTGCATTATAGCAATGCTTTCCTAGGTGAGTCTGAATGAAACAATAGTAAATAAAACAAGCAATTTACAAAACCATAAAATATAATTCCATTTATATGAAGCCCCAAACTGGAAAAGTAAAAACCTTATTTTTAGTGATATATTCATAGGTAGGAAAACTAAGGAATGCTAACAAAAATTTAAGACAGATTTGGCTCGAGGGGAAGATGCAGGGCCTGTCAGGGTGAGGGGCTCAAAATGGCTGTGTGTACTGATCATTTACTATTTTTAATTTGGCCGTTTCCAACTTCTTAACTAGTAAAGGGGATTCCTCAGAACATATAACAAGTGTCATTTACTTTTTAAACTTTAGAGACATTTTCTTTACATAGACATGCTGCAAATATACTAGCTATTACTCTTCCACTGCATTTTATGAAATAATCTAGCAGAATAATAGATCCCATTAGCTTACATTTCTAGCTGGCCACCAAGTACTATAGGTTAGGTGGCTTTAAAAACATGCATTTGTTTTCTCATACCTTTGGAAGTAGAAACCTAAAATGTGGATATCAGCAAGTTAGTTTCTCCTGAGACCTTGCTTCCTGGTTTTCAGATGGCTGTCTTCCCTTTGCCTTTCCAGTCTTTCCTCTGTGTATATCTGTCCTAATCTCTTCTTATAATAAGCATATTGATCTAGTGGATTAGGACCATGATAATCTCATGATCTTATATAATAACCTTACTTACCTCTTTATAGGACCTCTCTCCAAAATAGTCAAATTAGGAGATACATATGAATGTGAATCTGAAGGTGCAGAGGACACAATTTAGACCATAACATACTGTAGGACAAAAAAATTTAAAAGGAGAGAGGCTGCTATAAGATTTAGAATACTAGAAAACAATTTGATTGAAAGACAAATGTAAAAATGCATACATTTCAAATTTAGTCAAATTCAGTAAACATTTTTATCAAGATTGCTGCTTACTATAAGATCAATGAACTAAAGTTAGCACCATGCTGGCGTTGTGTATCTACACCAACAATGCCAGTGCTAGCTCCAAATAAGGCATATTTCACAATGGCAACAAGAACTGTTAGGAACTCCACAGTGTCCTCAACAGAAAGTGTGAGAGACATTATTATATTTCAGTTTTAGAAAGATGAGTATCGTGTTCATGAACAATGACCTAGTTCTTAACGATAATAATTTCCTCCAAATTTATCTCTAAATGTATTACCACTGTAATAAAAATTCCAACAGAATTTATTTAGGATTTAACTTTTTAAATTCATTTGTATGAGTGTTGGCTGCAAAATTTAGAACAATTGTGAAAAGGAAAGAAGAAAAAGAGCCCACTGAGATGAGAACAAAAGGCTCTTGCATATTGAGATTAATAATAGAGCTATAATTAAAATATATCATTATAATTTTTAAAAGAAGATCAAGGTAGTAAAATATATATAATCCAGAAACAGATCCAGGTATTTATGGGAAATCCATCAATCATTGTAGAAAAAAATTGACCTCTTCATCGTAGTCATTAGAATAATGGACTTTCTATTTGGAAGCAAATATAATTAAACCTCTATACCACTACCATATTCAAAAGCTAATTTCACATGGATTATGTTCTTATTTATGAAAAATATTCCAGAAGATTAAGCAAAAAATTAGAGGTTTTTTAGATGAGACATGGACAAAACAAAATGGAAATTATTGAAATATTTTACTAAATTAAATGTTAAAAATGTTGGCACCGAAAAAAGTATCAGTAGTGTTAAAGAAATATGCTTCAGCATATTGTGAAACAAATTATTAAGAACAAAGACTTACAGTCATACATACACTCCAGTAAATTAATAAATAAACAAACAAAATAATCAGCTTAGCAAATGGACAACCAGTGTAGTGCAACATTCCTATAATCCCAACATTTAGGAGGCTAAGGATTGAAAGTTCAAGCCAGCCTGGGTTGTATAGTGAGTTCAAGACTGACCTGGGCTATATTATTTTTTTTAAAAGTTGTGGACAAACAGGTACAACAGGCAATAAATACACATAAAAGATCTCAACATCACTAATAACCAGAGATAAACAAATTAAACTGCACTATAATACTATTTCTTGGCCTCCAGATTGTTAGCATCCAGAAATCTGAAAATTCCTATAATTAGCAAGGATAAGAAGGAACCAGGTAAGAAAATAAATCGGTATGCTTACTTTTTGGAGAAATTTGGCTTTTGCCAATAAAATTGAAAATGCTTATCAGAAATCCCACTTCTACAATATGTGAGCCAGAAAAATGTTTGCACATTTACACTAGGATTCCTGTTTGTTGTTTCCTAAAATACTGTAATAATACAAATTTAGAAATAATATAAATGTCAGTCATTAGGAAATGGATAAAATTATGTACAGACATACTAAAAGTAAATATAATAGTACAGAGTAAAACTGAATACTTATAGAGTAAACGTGACTAAACCTTGCAAAGTCAGGTTGTAGAATAATACAGATCAGCAGTTCTTTAAAATGAAGAGACCTTTTCAAAGATCTATAAAGCCAAAGTCATTTTCATCTTTACTGAGAAGATACTTGTTTTATTCATTCTCCATGCTCTCAGAAGTGTACAGTAGAGTTTCCTAGAGGTCATGATGAGTAAAATCATTGCTCTGACTGCTAATGGAATGTGTGCTTGCCTAATCTTGGTGAAGAATGGAAAGAACTGAATGTCAGCTATTACTGATCACTGCTTTGTAGCCACTAATGTGGAAATGAAAACTATTTGATAGGAATATATGCCCATTATACAGGAAGCATAAAGGTAAATTACAAAACAGTATATAAGAGATTAGTTAATATTTTCAATCACAAAATACTATGTAAAGGTACCTCACTAGGGAATTAGACTTAAAAAACGTTCAGTAAACTTCAGTTTGACTCCTTGGATTATAGTTGTTTGTGTTGAGTAATTTTCTTGTAAATATATTAACTACACTACATAAATTTTTAAAAACTGTATTCACTTAATAAAATCATATAAATCCTTTAAAATCATGTATAATTTCAGGAAACTGAATTTAATAAATATTTATTTGTTACCTACTTGCAATATTGAAATACAATTCTGATACTAATCATCTGAAGACAGTGACAGAGTCTATCAGTTCAAGGGTATAATGCTTAGCAAGATGGCTGTCATCTCAGATGCTTACCTCAAGTTCAGGGGTCTTCAGGCCAACACATTTATGGCCTTACTGCCTACAAAGCTAGGAGTTTCCTATAACTCCTCTTAGGTTTCATAGTTTTCTAGAATGACTCATAGAACTCAGGAAAATGTTTGACTTATGATTACAATTTTATTATGAAGGATATAAATTAAACCAGCAAATAATCAAAGGATTAGGTCTTGGAGGCACCTGGTGAAAAAATTCTGCATCCTCTCCATGTGAAATCAGACTGTGTCACCCTCCCAGCACATCAGTGTGTTTATCAACCTGAAAGCTCCACTGAGCTTGGTCTTCAGATCTTTTCGTTGAGTTTTATTACCTGGGCATAATTATTGAATCATTGGCTGTGTGATTGAACTCAGTCTCTAGGACTTTTCCTTTCCCAACAGGTCTAGCTGGGTCGATGCAGTAATCTAATTACAGTAGCTCCTCCTGGTGACCAGCCACCATCCTCAGTCATCTCAGTAGAGACCCAAGAATCATGCAGGGAATTAGATTCTCCCAGAAACCAGGGAGAAAGCCCAGATTCTTTTTTGTAAAGCACTACTGTAAGAGCCCAGGATGAATACTAAAAAAGTAAGATTTTCAGCATGAATGGAAATATTAAGATTTTAATAAATTTTAAGTCCTTAACATCAGCAGAAATTTTCAAGAAAAACTGTGTCAATTGGGTGATCTAAGCCAGAGAAACTAGATTATTACTAAGATAGGCTGCTTGGAGCCAGTAAGACTCTGCCTCTCTCATTTACTAACTGTATGACCTTGAGTGAGGTATGTTGCCTACTTCTAATTTTCAGTAAAATATGCATAATGAGGATTTTTTAAGAAATAAAATACAGTACTATATGAATCCATTGCTGGTCAGATAGAGGGCATTCAAGGGTAACTATGATTCAAGAGTAAATAGTCGTAAACTCTGGAGCAGTTTAAGCTAGAACAAATCCAATTAGAGGCATTGAAATGGAGAGAAATATCTTTCATACAACTGATGATATAAATCAAGCAACATAAAGTGTATGAAAAATGCCTTTTAAAGGACATCTCATACTCTAGTAAAAATATTTTTACTTTTATCTAAACAGTAAATATACTTTTCATGAATATCTTTTCATTATTATTCATACCTGAACTTTATCACTGTCATTGGTACCTTAATCAGCCAGTACTTCTCACCTGTAGCATCTGTTACCTGCAATGGAGATATAGTACCATAAAGAAAAATCAATGAAAGAATCCACAAATGGGCTTCAAAGGCCCTTAAACCCACTAAAAATGTTTCTGTCTTTGACATCCTCAGGATATCATAGTTTCCTGGTACTATTGCTTTGCAATTTAAAAATGGTTGCTTATAAATCTCACAGAGAATTTTTATGTGCAACTTGTCAGGTTTTCTTAAAGTACTGAGAATACTAACCAAATTACAGTTTTAACTTACTTTCACAAAGTCTTCACAATAAATTAAAAAGTCATTTTATTATATGAGTCATAAAAGCCTACTTGGAAAATGTGAGGTCCTGAGTTTGATTCCTGGTACCAAAAACAGAAGGGGAAGGTCTGTAAAAGCTGATAACTAAGCAGCAGTTGAAGTCTGTTCTTTACTGAATATTTGTTAAAATTAGAAAAAAAATTGCAACTAGATACAGTAACCTAATACCCCTGTCATCTACATCATCCAGTGTCATCATTCTTGAGGTAACTAAAATAATTTTCATTCCTTCTTAGCATATTCCTTTATTTATCTATGTCCTCTACTCAAAGCCCCTCAAATCTACCAGTGCCACTAAAAAGAATGTGAAGTCAGGTGATCATCTCCTGATGAGAAACCATAGCTTTCATAAAACTATAGCTTTATAATGGGCTTCAGAAATTAAAGCAGAATATCCTGCTTTACTGTAATTTGGTTGTTTAGTTATGAAATTTATCTGAAATTTTAGATGGCTTAATTTAGTACAGTGTTTTCACTATTAATATATGCACTGTGGACAAATACTGATCTTTGTGTTGAATGAACTACAGGCAGAAAATGGGATAAATAATGCCATAGTTCAGATCTTTCAAATGAAGAATTTTTTGGCATGGATAGTTAATTTTTAAGTGCTGTATAAGAAAAATGTTTCTATTTATTAATCAGGATTATGATATTTTTCCATCATAGGAATTAAATCAGATGCTCTCAGAAACACCACCAGTTTGGAAGGGATCATCAAAGCTATTTCGAAATCTTAAGGAAAGAGGTAAATTAGCATGAGTATATACATTTTGACATTGACACTGTTATTTATAATGTCATGTATACATATTTTCTCATAGACAAAATAATTCTAAAATTACAAATGTGTGTATATATTGAAAAAATATAAAATTTTTCTCATAGAATTCTAAAATCACAAATGTGTGTATATATTGAAAAAATATAAAATATGAATGATTCTGGGAACTGTTATTTTTGAGTAGTGTGATCAAGGCAGTTTTTAATGTTATTTGATACATGTATTCCTGTCTTTTACATTTTTTTACAGAAATAGAAAATTTTTTTGATCTTTTTGAGATAAGATTTCATTATGCAGTTCAGGCTGGCCTTGAACTCACTTTGTGGCCTTGAACTTGCAACAGTCCTTCTGCCTCAGCCTGCAGAGTGCTGGAATTACAGGTGTGAGCCACCATACATGGCTACAAAATATGAACTTTTATAGTTTAGAAATGCCCTTGAACCATAATGAAAAGCAAAGCACAGTTTACTGTAGAAAGTATTTTCCAAAAATACTAGATCTTCAAATGTCTATTTTTCTTCTTTCCATTTTATTTGTAGGGAATTATAGATATTCCTAAATATAATCAATATGAAAACTTCTTATGCATGTCTTTTGCCAACAAAATTTAAACATGTTTCTTTTATAAACAACACTCACTGCAAAATCCACTTGTTTCAACTTTGTCTATATGCATGCATCTAATTTAATTTATTAATTCATGCATTAGTTGGCCCTCAGAAGTAATGCGTGCCTTTTACTGCAGCTTTCTTTCACAGTGTACTTTTTGCATTTATTTATAGAAAAAAATTAATAAAACATGCTTAATCTTACAATAGAATGTTTCCTAGGTATTCTTGTTTATATTCTCAAATATAAGAATATACAAAGATTAAAGAATTAAAGTTATTTTTCTTTTTCATCAAAGAAAACCAAAGATATTGGTCTGAAAATATTATACTTATTTTACTACGAAGACAAATACATTAAAGGAATTGTTACAATTCATATATTTTATCTAAGTAGAATAAATAGTTCATATTATTTCCACCTGGCTCACACTGAATCCAAAAGAAAGAAGTTACTTTGTCTTTTATCTTAGATATTTCCTAACTCTACTTTGAGAAACACATGTCAAGATCTGTTAAGGGTTCGTAGGAAGTTTCTCCTGGAAGTTCTCTTAAAGATCGCCATGCGTATTTTAAACTGATTTTCATTGCTCCGAAGGAGCAGCTAAGTAGGATGAATTTTAAAATTTTCCCTTAATACATCTTATGAGAACATTAAAATTGAACCAAATAGAGAACAAATGTATGGAAGAAATTCATTTTAGTTAAGAAAAAGGCTTAATGTAGAAATACTGCCCACCCCCACCCCCACCCCCACTCCCCAACTCCACCCCCTGAGATTGTTTAGCACAGTGAGGACTATCTGCAGTGCTGGAGATGTTCTGTTTGTCTGCTGTCTTGGGAGCCATAAACCAAAAGTGGCCAGTCTGAGGAACTAAACTTTTAATTTTGATTAATTTAAACTTAAATATCTACACTTGGCCAGTGGCCCACTGGGTAGTTTGCATCTGTATCGTCCTGTTCAAATTATTAAGGCAATCAGTTATCCCATTAGAACCTTTAGGTCCTGTAAACTAGTGAAGCAGAGAAACTGATTTGTGGCTTTTAAATAGACATTAAATGGGTAATTTTGAAGCTAAGTCTTTAGAACTGTTAATGATCAATTTTAAAATGAAGAAATTTATCTGTTTAAAACATTACCCAGGAAGAAAATATTGTGCAGTTTTAAAATTAGTTGATATGTAATGCTAAAGAAAAAGTGTCACATAGATTTAGTTTTACAACTAAGCCTGTTGTAATGTATCATAATAGGGGAATTAAACAATGTAATACTTATTTAAAAACTTCTAAAAAATTTTTACTGAATTTTCAAAAGAAAACTCATTTTGTTCTTATTCTCTTTCTAAAGATTGCATGTTCAGTATTCATTTAATTTAGTATTCATTTAAGTTTTAGTATATTCATTTTAACTTTTCTTCGATTGTGACTAACCTTAAATCAACTAAAGAGTTTTATAGTTTTTCATATTTGTAATTGGAAGGCATTAAGAATCTAAAACTCATCTTTATTAGTATTTTCCTTATTAAATTATGAGTTTCACTTTATTCTGCTTTCCTGTGGATTAAGCCACTTCCTTAACCACGTAGTCTTACGATAAGTCCCTACCATGAAAACTGTGATCAAGACTTTCACTCTTAAGTAACCACTCTCACAAGGGAAATCTTCAGTTAATTATCAAATAAAAATATATAGCAGTTACTAAAATTCTTTATGTCAACCAGCAACTCTGTGTATTTTATCAGATGAATTAGAGCACGTTGGTGACATGGGATTGTGGAGACAGCAAGGCCATTTCCAATCCTATTTCTCTTTTGTCCTTTTGCATTTGTGCTTTTTTCTTTTTGAGGGATCACTATGAAATCTAAGTATTGTATCTTTATATACATTGACCATTTCAGAATCTTTCTCCCATAACATTCATGGCGATCAACCAGAACTATCTGTCTATAGGCCACAATATTCTAGTATAAACAAAAGAGGAGAATGCTTTGAAAGCCTTCTGGCTAGTTCCCTTCATTTTTCTGACAAACTGCCAGACAGTGACTCCACGTCTCTTTGTTCTATAACAAATAGAGTAGCCTCAAAGAACATCAGATAAAATAGACATTTAATGTTCACAATCTGATTATTTAAGGATTTTTATACTCTTTTACCAAACATCAAATTATGTGCTACCTAGATAAGTATTATAGACTCATTCCTAATTTAATTATCTCTGTATCTCCGTGGATGTGTCAATAAAGCCATTAATTCTAGTTTTGGGTATTACAGTACAAAGGCAAGAATTCAAGTAACAGGATGTATATTTTTATTTACTTCAACCAATCTCCTTTTAAAGTTTGTAATTACAGATTTATAGAGAACTCCAGGTACGTATATTATAATCCATTCAATTGATATAAAAACTTAAGATTACTTTTAATAGAAGCATTGTTTGTCAGAATAATAAATGATAATTTTATAGCAGAAGACTGGTGAATATAAACTTTCATTCAATACAAAATCAAATTTCTAAGCAAGCATATCTAAATATTTTATTAACTGTTAAGTAATTAAGCTGGTTTTTTTTTAGTATTAGCCATTTCTGACATTTTTGTGTGAGATTCATGCATAAAAACTAGCAATAAGTTTAAAAGTTACAACTAAACACAATTTTGACTTCTTATGAATATATTTGAGAGCATTAATGAGGATTTTGTATGGGGCTCTACAGTAGCATACGGAACAATGAAAGTAAAATTAATTTTGCTGCTTCTTTTACAGACTTTAGACTGCTAATTTAGCCTCATTTAAAACAATATTTAGCATCCACTTTAAAGCTATAGAGTACACATAGTGTTTGTTTTTATTTTGATGCATATCAAATAATATTTCATATAGCATAATTGATACTATTTTTCTTCTAGGTGTGATTTCTTACACAGAATATCTTTTTCTTTTGTGTATTTTAACAAGTAAGTATATTCATTAAATCTATTTGTAGATACAATTTTCTTTTTTAACCTGAATCTTATAAAACAGATCTTTCTTAACTTATTTTACTATTGAAAATTGCTTTAGGTCTATGTTTATTGTATTATAAAAATGTCTAAATGACACAGAAAAATGTGAAGTATAGTGTTGTCAAGAGTCGGGAAGTATCTTGGGAATAGTAATAAAATGTGTATAAATTATAAATCTACCACATACCTATTTATTGTTCCTTTTAATCTACATGACACCCCAGCAGTCAGGGCATATAATAATGTTTCCACACACTCATTTGAAAAAGCTTGCTCTGCCAGACTAAGTGAGAATGAGTCGTGAGTCCCATACCTGGGAGTCGTGAGAATACCCGTCATCCAGCCAACAGCGGCTTTGTTACTCTCATCTTCTCACTTTGCAGCAGTTCTCATGAAATGTGTTAGGCTTTACTAATGTTTTCGTTTCAGAAATACTTCTTTGCATTTACTGGGGGACACTGCATGCTCTAGTGCTGTTTACTCTGCTCCAGCCACGTGGCCTTTCTGTTCCTTGAATTCTTACTGCACAGATCTGGAGCTTGTGCTTTTTCTGCCATCAGTGCTTTGCTGGAGAACCTTACGAGAATAAACATCGTGCAGTTGCATTTCAGGTGTGAAGCTTTAAAGGACTGCTACCTGACCTTTCTAAAATAGCTCCACTTCCCAGGTCTCTCTTTTTCTTCATAGCACTTAAGTTAATTTAAAGTATTATTGGCTTATGTGCTCTTATCTGTCTCTTTTCAGTGGCAAAAATATCTTATTCATGTCCTATCAAGGACAGTGTCTTACACATAGCACACTCAAAAATAGTTGATGAATGAAGAAAGAAATGAATGAGAATAGAATGTTGTTCTTGGAATTGCCAATTGTGGAGACTTGTGGAGGTATATGGAAAAAAGAATATCAATAAAACTGTCATTAGAAACAAGTTTTAACATACAGTGTACTTACATGATTAGAAAATTTACACCACTATACTGTTCTTTAATTAGCAAAGAATGATGTTACATTTAGTTCTAGTGTAGCAAGTTTTATAGGGGAGAAAAGAATGTGTTCATGACACAGATGTGTTTCAAAATTAACATGTGTCCTGCAGAAGTGAGCACGTGTTTCAAAGTTATATTCTTTTATTTTTCGCTATTTTATTTCTGGATTTAAAATGAAAATAAAATATTACTGATGTATATTGTGCAGCTTGTAGTAGGGCCACCTGAAGTTCTTCCAGCCTGAAATAGTGATGGTGCAGTCCAGTCAATAACGAATACCAACATGAACATTAGAGTGAGTCCAAGGAGCGTCTCAGACATGGATTGAAAAGCATTCTTACTAACCAGAACAATAGTGAGTGCAAAGTTAATAGTAATACATACTCAAACTGAAAGCCAAAATGAGAATAGTGCTGGTTAAAGAGCTGCTTGTTGAAAGCGGGTAGGTGGGTTTTGCTTAGAAGTTCCCTTAGACACTGTGAAGTTTCCTTGAAGTTCAGGGCACATCTATAGAAGCTTTAAAGAGTTTTAAAGGGAAAATTATGGCATGTTGTTTATAGACTGCAGCCAAGAAAAGTGTGAGAAGAGGGCTGGGAGGGGGTAGGCTACATAATCTACAGTGCATGTATGTGTTTCCTCTTTACCTTTTACTATGGATTTCCCCGTTAAATCAGTGTTTATAAGGACTGCTGTTCTTGATATGTTGTTAAGATCTTTTTGAAGTATACAGCAGTTGGGAGGCTGAGGCAGGAGGATCACTGCCAGTTCAAGGCCAGCCTGGGCTACAAAGTGAGTTCAAGGCCAGCCTGAACTGCAGAGTAAGAGCCTGTCTCAAAGAAACAGAAAGAAAAAAAGAAAGAAAGAAGGAAAAGAGTGTGTGTGCATTTTTATTACTTCTCAAGTAAATGATAATGAAAGTAAGGTTAGATTTCTAAAACACACGGAAGAAATGACCTAACAGAAAGGACTGACTTCTGTCAGTTTCACGGACAGTGAAGAAAGTCGGGCTGTGTGCTTCTCTCTTTTCAGGTTCAAGATTTCATAACAGGTAACATCAGTGTATCTGTGTGGGGGTGTGGGGGAGGGGTCTGTTTTTAAAAGTTTTTGCTAGTGATTCCAAAGGAAAGGTCAAATATTTTGAAAAAGACATGTGCAGTGACTCCTCTTTAAAAGACACTTTTACATTTTCTTCATTCCTAGGCTTTCTTCTCTATGCTTTAGAATTGAAAGAAAGGAAGTGGTGATCTTCATTATATATAAGGTTCCTGAAAGTGAAGCAATTTGAAAGTTTTTCAAAAAACATTTGCCCCATATTTTTAGGAGTTGAGAATTACATATTGAGACTTCTTTTATTTTATATTTCTGTTTTTGAAGTCTGTAGAAGTCTAAACTCAAGTCTGTAATTTCTTGGACTTGCTGTTCATTTCTGTAGGTCATTTCAGTTACAGTTCTCTAAAGAATGAGGACTGGTTCATTGTGTCATAATTAGTTAATCATATTAAAATATTTGAAATATAATGAGCTGATATTTTCCTTTTTATCAAATTGATAGGCTTTTCATACTCCAGAAGGAAATCAGTTTTTTCCTGTGAGTGCTGTGCAGGATCACATAAAGACAAAGCATATCACTCAGTTGGGCTGTAGCTCAGTAGTAGAGTGCTTGCCTAGCATGTGCAGGCCCTGGGTTCAATCCCAGCTTCACAAAAGTAAGACAAAAATAAAGTACATTATTCATTGTGTTATTAAGTCTTCTAATAGATGAACCAGAAATATGTATATTTCTATATAGCTTTTTTATATTAATAGTAACATGTTGCTTTAAATTTCTTGGTTTAAAAAGGTATTTCTGTACAGAATATAAGTAACTGTTTACAACTAAGATAGATTTAAAATACATTTTTGTATTTTATAAATACTTTTTTGTTTTTTATGGCAGAGCCACATGCAGGTTTTAGAATAGCTTTCAACATGTTTGACACTGATGGCAATGAGATGGTGGATAAAAAGGAGTTTTTGGTGGTATGTACTTTATATGCTACATTTTATCAATAAATACTTCCCACTTGTATTTTATGGTTTTGCATTATTAAGAATACTACTATATAGGAAAGTAAAAAACTTACGCTTTCACCTGATTTAATTAACTGTTATATGCTTATACACTTTGAATATTTACATTATAAAGATATAAATCCTGTTTAGTATACAAAGATTATTATGGTTTATGTACTATCTGGAAGTGTGGATATATTGGATATTTTTTGTTGGATGAGTATCAGGCAATCTTGAGATTATTTTTGCCAAGTTAATACTGAGTCTCCATCATACTTTTTAAAAACCTTTTCTTTTCTGTTTATGACTGGCATTGCCTGATGCAGTGTTCCTGTCTTGGGCTTACTTCCCTGTTTCTTCCATTGTCTGTGACCAATAGCTGACAGTTCTAAGGTATTTTCTTTCAGTATTTTCATTTGACTGGTCCAGCCTTGGGAATTATCTGACATCTGCTGGTCATTTATCTTCCCATCTCCCTTTCTAGAATTCTTTTTTCTCTTTTTACCTCTGTATCCCACATGTGTTTCTGTGGCAAAAATACCTATTGTGTTTTTGTTCTAAAGTGTAAATAAATATTAATATATTGCTTAGAGTAACAAGATCTGCCCTTAACATTAATGTTCAACTCTGTCTTTGAACTCTGTTAGTTAAAAGAAAAAGGGAGGGCAACATACATAACCATTTTGTTTTTATTTTTCCTTTGTAACAGCCACTAAAAATCTCTCAATAAAATCGTTTCATGATCTTCAAATTTTCTTCAGAGGTACAACACAAAAGAAATATAGGAAATTATTCTTTTGTTTGGTAGGAAGAAAAGAGATAAAAACCATCCATTTAACATTTGGCCTTTCAAAAGGAATCAGACTAATTAATGGTGTCTATCAGAAAGTTTAAACTAACACTCATGTAATCCTTGGCCGTGTGAAATCCCTTAGCCAAAGCCACTGGACTGGAACCTTCATTCTGTTACGTTATAAAGTAGTGGGAACGCGGGGGCTTTCACTTCCACTGCAGTACACGGACATACATTCTTACCATCTTAAAATAGGTTTAATTAATATAGTTTTGTTTTGATGACACACAGCAATATTTTAGGAACTTTCAGAAAGAAACTATTTGTCTAAATAATTTTGAATAAGAATTGTGTACCTAGACTGCCAAGTTCTACCCCACTGACATAAAGATGAATTTTTGGAGATCTTAATTCTTTCAGAGCTGCTCAGGTAGTCTGTTGTCACTGGTGGCCTATGCCTATAAATCCAGCTACTCAAGAGATGAGGCAGAAAGGTTATAAATTGGAGATTATTCTAGACAGCTTAGCAAGATCCTGTCTCAAAAATTAAAAACTAACAACTAAAAACATTTTTTGAAAGTTGCTTATGTAGATATCTTTTGGAACATAGTCTGTGGAGTTGGGAGATAAAACCATTCACACTGATCTCCTATTCTTTTCCAGTCTACACTCCTGTAAAAACCTATCCTTGTTGAGGGCTGATTTTTTTAGATGTACTGCTGCCTCATAAGTGATATTTACTTGTTTCTTTGCAAATGGAACCTAAAACAGAAGGTGGAATTATTTGCTAAATTATTTGTATAAGTTTAAAATCTTGGGAAGTAACATTTTTATTTGACTTTCAACTACTAGTGTATTTTTAAAAAAGATTGAAGTAATTGTCCAAATTATGTACATAAGTGCAGTAAGCTCTTTTTTTTTATTGGATCCAAAGGACAAATGACCAATAAATACATAAACATCTGTTAATCATCTCTGGATATTTTGTTTATTTGTTACTTATACTACTTGCAGAGAGGATTTATGGATCTTCTGTTAAAAATAGAGTATGAGTTTAATAATGAACATTCATGTTCTAGAGAAATGCAAATCAAAACGACACTGAGGTTCCATTTTAATTTTGAAAGAATGGCATCATCAAGAAATCAAACAATAACATAGCTGGAGAGACTGTGGGGAAAAGGAATCCTTCTGTATTGTTGGTGGGACTGTGAACTAGTACAACTGCTATGGAAATCAGTATAGAGATTCCTCTAACCATAAAAAATAGAAATTCTGCTGTTCCCAAAAGAGCTGAAAACACCATATCACAGGCTGCGGATTTAGCTCAGTAACATAAGCGCCTGCCTGGCAAGCACAAAGTTGTGACTTCAATCCTCGGTACCCCCCTGCAAAAAACCCCAGGATATTACAATGATACATACCCATCTTTAAAACAGTATAATTCGTAAATCCTGTAAGTGGCCAACACATCCATTACCAGATGAATGAATAAAGAAAGCATAGCAATTATACACAAGGGAATACTCCTCTGCCACAAAGAAGGATAAACAAGTCCTTTGTAGGAAAATGGATACACCATAAGACCTTAAAGTTAAGTAAGAGCAGACACACAGCTTAAATATTACATAGTTTCTCCTGTATCAGAAATCTAAGACATAAAAAACACATTAGGAAATAAGATAATTTTATATAAAGGAGAAGGGAACCAAGAAATGAAAGGAGAGTGCAGGGAGGGAAGGAGAAAGGGATGAAGAGTGTGTTTCACACATGCAACAGTACTCATGAGGAATGTGACCATTATGTACTGCAAACATTTACTAATAAAAAAAATGTAAAACAACGAGCTTTCCAGAAACTGATGAAGAGGTAAGATTAGCTTTCATTTTTAAATTGTAGGGTTTTAAAGAAGAAAACACCACTACTACTAATAATTAACATTTATTGAGAACTTCCTATGAGACAGGAAATGTGCTGAGTACTTTTAATATTTATCACCCACAAGGTGAGGAATTACCTCCATATCCCAGATAAAGAAAACAAACCTTAATTAAAGTAACTTTCCTGAGGAATTATACCTGCAGAGCCTATTCTCCCACCACCATGCTTGAAGAAGCTTTGTATGTCATCTGGTCCGTCCTGACTTAATACCTGAGCAAGTTGGAGCCCAGTGAGGGCTCAGTGCCTGTCTACCGTAATAAAATGAATTTATGACAGAAGCTGAACTCAAACCCAGAGTCCTTCAGTATTACTACAAAGGTGCAATAGGTTTTACTTCTGTTTCTGTGTGGATCTCAGACTGCTTGTCTTTCTTTACTAGTGATAAATTAAAAACTAGAGCATTAAACATTTAACTTAACCATAGGTCACCATTATTTTTCTTTCTCTTGAGAAAAATACTGAAATCAAAAAATATATTTCATGTAGTTTAAATGCTCTTGATTGGTTAAATTATGTTCTTTGTTTTGGTAAAACACCTGGCACAGAGTGGTAATTAGTGCCTTGAAACTCTTGTTGGATATTAACTTTTAGATTTATCTCCTCACAGCTTCAAGAGATATTCAGGAAAAAAAATGAAAAAAGAGAAACTAAAGGAGATGAAGAAAAGCGTGCGATGCTGGTAAGAAATACTTTATAGTAGTTGCAGGTGGGTTTTCCAGGTGAGAATTATTTTATTCATAATGAGAAGCATTAATTAAATTAAATTTAAATTAAGTTCTAGAGCTTTAGAGGTATTTCTTTATTGAAAACATTCTAAAATTCTTATGTAGAAAATGACTTCAGTATTTATATACATCAATATCAATATTTATGCTAAATATTGATATTAAATATCTGTACTCATAATCACATTCATTAAGTCATTTTCATCCACGTTGTTATCTGTGAGATTTGAAGGGTATATCTTACAGTAGCTTAATACAGATCATTATGCATGTAAAAATTTAAAGGTGAATTGCAAAGATTTACTTGTATGAGCAAATTTAATGTTGATATTACAATATGAATGTTGAAGCAAGTACAAGGAAATAATATGTTGCTTTGCATCCTTAGAAATATAGATTCTAGGGAGACAGGTGGTTTAGCTTAGTGGCATAAGTGCCTGCCTGGCAAACATGAGGCTGTGCGTTTGATCCCTGGTACCAAAATATATATATATATATATATATATATATTCTAAAAAATAGAAATATAGATTCTTCTGTGAGCCATAATATTCTTATCTTATTATGAAGTTAGGAAGTTAGGATTAACATTTCCTTCCACCCTCTATAAGCTTTTTGTTGTCACAAATATTTCATCCAACAGCAGACAAATTCATGTATTAAAAATAGCAAATGAGTTCTAAAACCTTACTGTTAGACTTTGTACTTGATGCTCTGCATGCATTCCCTCATTTCATCTACCTGGCATTTTAGTTCAGATCTGCATTGTTTATAATATGACTATCAAGTTACAACCACTCATTGTTATTATTAAACATAGCAAGGAATATTTGTACAGAGCTTTACTGTTGAGTGCTGTCAGTGAGAGATGAGTTACAGATTTATTTCTGAATTGTTTTAAGAAAAGTTTTAACAGCCAATTTATGTAAGTTAGATTTCAAGAATAATACTTAAATTATAGGATAAAGCCCACTGAGCTACCTGTGGAGATTGATGACTTTAAAAAGCATTTCTCTACATATAAACAAGTTATATATTATTCTTCTATTCTTTAAAACTAAGTTTCCTTTCTTATGTATTTGGTAGGGAATGCTTCACTGACCTGTATATATACAAAACAAAACAAGTTAGGGTACAGTGGTGTAGTTTAAATTCAGATAGAAGTCCTCTAGTTAATCCAAGTTAATGAGATTATACTATGTCATAATTATAAAATATTTACATTAAATTTCTTTCATATTGGCTACAGTGAAGAGCCAAGTTCTGTGCGGACACTAGTTTTAGTTTTTCCTGTGTACATTATCTATCATTTTTCTTACAGCTTTCTCCCTTTTTTACTTGATGTATGAATTGGATTGAATGTCAGTGCTTAGAATCATTGTATTTCTACTAGAAGATACATAAATTCTCTTTGGAAATAGTATAAATAACAAAGCAATTATATTTCTATCCATTGAAATATTATTTACTAAGCTATGTTATCACAATGATTAATACAATTCGACTTCAAATGATATGTCATTAATAACTTACTTGTCAGTCAATTATGGTTACAGGTAATCTATCAAAATTAGAATGATCACTTATTTTTCCAATATATTATGGAAATAAAAATTGAGAAGATATTTAATTCTATAGGCTTCTTTGCTAATACTCCAAAAGCTGCATTTATGAAGCTATTCATAGGGTTTATTAAGTACAATTTTTAAATTATAAGACAACTACTAATGCCATTTTTAATACTTTGCTAACATTGCAATCAGCTCTGTGGTTTTTTTTAAAACGGTCATCTGTAAGCATTGTTAATACTGGGGGAGGTTCATCAACTACTGATAACTATATGATAGTAAAATAGCCTATAAAGTAATATGTATTTCATAATGCTGACAACCCGCTTTACTTAAACTAGATATAAACATAAATATATTTGGACTGAATATGCATTACATAGATAAGATGATCCATGTTTTTAAAAAAATCTAATAAGTGTAATGATAATTATTAAAAATGAAGTTAGCTATTTTAATTTTAGGTAGAACAGTTTAAACTACTGCACTGTTACTAATTTGGAAATGAAGCTAATATTAGTCACATGCTAACAAAATTCACTATATTTCTGGTATCAGTGTCTGAAGATGAAGAAATATGGTATGGTGGATAAAAGTACAGGTTTTGAAGTGGGTCAGACTTGGTTTCAAAGAGAGACTTTGCCACTTAATAGCTATGTAATTTTGGATAAGATATGTAACTTTTCCATATATCAATTTCCTCACCTGTCACTATGGACATATTCATTTCTAGGTTTAATAATAATGATAATTAGTTTTAACTTGATAGTCACAATATAAACAATGCAAATCTGAACTAAAATTTTATTTTATAATATTTTAGCTATAGAAGATTATGTAAAATGGAAGGTGACATTTTCAAAGTGCTAGAAATGATAATATGATTCATATTCTTAAAACATTTTAGTTGAATTCTAAAACTTAGCTCATTATGAAAACATACAAATTGCATCAGAGACACAGCATAACAGGCTCAGAAAACATATATTAGGGGTTTGAATATTAGCTCTGCTACTCTTGTTACTTTGTGATTTTGAACATCATTAACTTCTCTGTGCTTTAGGCTTTTCATTTGTACAGTTGGAGTAACAGGAGTAATGACTGTATACAATTTTTATGGGGACTAAATTAACTAAAACACAGCCACCCAGCTGTATGTGAAATGTAATGAACACTTAAAAAGGTTAGCTAGTAATAAAATTTAATAGAACCACATAGGTACTTTAATATATCCAAATCTAAACTAATCCAGGCTAAATTTAGAAATACTTGCATATCAAAATAAAGCTATGCTTCAAAAGGAGCAAAGTAAATGTAGCATTTCTTGGGGCACTTATGTGCTAAACACTGTATTGTGTCCATAATAAAGTTACTCCATTTAGTCCTCATATGATTTTCCCAGGTAAGTATTACACCTGTTTTGCAAATGAGAAAACAATCAGAGGCTAAAGTGGCTAGTATCATAACACTGATAATAGCAGGACAAGCTTCCAGAGCAGGTGTCTCGTATTATTTCCATGCTCATGCTGCTGTATCTGGAGTTTCCTCTGTCTCATGTGAAATTACTGAAATCTGCGTAAATAAAATTGCATGTTTAAGAGAACATGTTTTATCCAAAGCAGTAGGGCTCTCAGAGGGTTACTATAAAATGGTTGAAATGAGCACAAATTCATCCAATGTTTAATTACAATAATTTAAAGAACTTTGCTACTCATCTTTAACATTTATCCCACTTGTATTGTGTATGTGCTCTATGAAGAATGTAGCATAATGATTTGCCCTTCCTAATTGATTATTTTGTCGTCTTTTCTTTTTTCTTTTCCTGTACTTGGGTTCATTCTGAAATGTGAAACTTCATTTGGCCCTTTGTGCTCTATGTCAGCGTCTTCAACTTTATGGATACCATTCTCCTACTAATAGTGTATGTACAATACTTTAAATGTTCTTTATGTATATATCCCACACCTGTTAAACTTAATAATGTTTTTATAAAGTTTTATCTGTTATTCAAAATGTTTTGAAATTTATTACAATATGGTGCAATCAATTAAAAATTTTAGATTTCTTCCTAAATTTATGAGACTAAAATATACAGAATAATTATATATCTTTATTAATTGTATATTATTTACTTATAGTAAAGGAAAAGGAAGTCAGGTGTGGTGGTGCGCACCTGTAATCCCAGCATTCGGGAGACTGAGGCAGGAGGATCGCCATGAGTTCAAGGACAGCCTGAACTACACAGCGAGACCCTGTCACCAATAATAATAATAACAATAAAGGAAAAGGAGTGAAGAACCACTACCAAAAGCTGGTAGAATCATTAAAGTGTTTTTTATTTTTCAGCAGTATTTGAGGAGTTATATAATAAATAATAGAGCAGAAGATAGGTTATCTCTTGCTGAATACAGGCATTTTAAAAACTAGATCTATTTATCCAATATATAATCTTCAAGTCTAATAAAATATTCTAATAGTCAATTTTAGTTTTCAGTATTTCTCACAAATTTTTAAAACACTGCTGCCTGCCTATTTTCTGTGTTCTACAAAAAAAAATATTGGTATAAGATGTTATTTGGTAGGTTTTAATATAACAGTGTATTGTGTCATTTCTCAAAGAAAACTATGCTTTTTGGATTCTCATTGTTTTGAGAGATTTGAGAGTTCCTATCAGTAAACTGAGTTTTCATCTTTAATTTCTTTTAAGATAGTTAGAACTTGTTAACATACCTTAAAATAATTAAGAATAGACCATAACCCTGTTAAAAATGTAAACATGCACAGTTCACTTCCCAGAGATCATTCAGCCACGTTAAAGGACTCCTTAAACCAGAGATTCCACCTGAGGAACACTGAGGTTTTTAACTACTGCAGTTTTCATTTTTCCTTTTGTCTCAAATAATTTTTATACAGGATGATTGTTTTTTAGAAATCTCAGAATAATATTATTGTTAAAAGAAAACAGACCCTAAGCTAGCTCTTACACAAATTATATACCCTGTTACACCAATTGTATCACTCAGCCATTAAGAGAATCGCACTGAGCAGACTTTATTGCCTAGTATTTCATTTCTGTTATGTGTGTTCATAGGAAAATGTACTTATGATTTTTACATTTTATCAAATAACGTTTTTCTTTTTATAATTTCATTGAAAACAGATTTTTTCCATATTTAAAGTGCACATATTAAAGTACATAACTTGATATCATTTTTATCCATAGACAACTCCTTTTGGAGCTTAGTTGGTTTTTATAAACTTCCTTCCTATAAAAACATTTTTGCTCAAAAACAAACAAAAAAATTAATGTAAAAATTTTAAAAAATTCAAACGTAAAAGTATATATAAAATACCACTGATGTATTATCAAAATATCATGTTATAGTGATATTAACTGTAAGTTTCCAGAGTTACAGATTCTGAAGTGATTGAGTATATAATTTGAGTGCAGATAATAGAGCTGACTGTAATCTAAGAGATTTAAAATAACCAGTTTCTAGGTTTAGGACAAAGTTTCTTCAGGAAATAAGTGGTTATCTTGTTTTATAGACAGATTCTCTGAGCTCTGTAGTAGACTGTTCTATAAATACTCAGTATTACACTTGTTTAATTAACAATTAACACTCTTACAGCCTAAATCCAAATTACTTCCTCCTATAGTGAAAGATTGAGCATCTTCTCTTGTATCCATAAAGCTATCTGCTACCCTGTATGAAATATAACATTTTCTGTTCCAAATAATCGTCATTCTTTTAATATTTCTACTATCAACATTCAGTTATCACACAGCGATGCAAAAATATAAAAATTCAAAAGAATAAAGGTTGCCGAAGTTAAATGTGTCTGACTTTGGCATGCTTTGTGTGATTTTCAAAAATTTTTTAATTAAAAAAATTTTTTTAATTACCCTAACTCCATTGCCATTAGAAAACATACTAATTTTTATACCAATTATTGGACATATATTGAGATTATTTTAAAATAATATTCCCCAATTTGGGGAACAGTGTTGTAATTACCATATATTACCATATACCATATATTACCATGTACATATACATATATTACCATATATGTGTATATATTACCATTCATATTAGTTATGTATTTTAAATCTTCTCAGTTGTTTTGTTTTGTTTTGTTTTTGAGACAAGGTCTCACTGTGCAATTCAGGATGTCCTTAAATTCACTATGTAGCCGAAGCTGGCCTTGAACTCAACTGTGATCATCCTGCCTCACACTTCCAAGTGCTGGGATTACAGGTGTGCACCACCATGCCAAGCACATATTCTCTGCTATTAATAATATTTTTATCTTCTTGATTTTGCTACCGTATTGTACATAACAATAGATTTATTAATTTCTACTCATAATTATCTTAATTTTTGTTTTATATATTTTGCAACATTATTGTTACATTCATAAGAATATATATATATCCTAGCAAATTGAGTCTTTTATTATGTACTCTACTAGATTTCTAGAAGTGCTTTCTGCTTTAAAAACTATTTTAGATGTTCAAAATTAGATATTTTAGATATCTTGATTAACATTTTATATGTTTATTTTGCTTGTACTTTCTATTTTTTGTTGATTTTTTAAATTTTTTCCTGTATTTCTGGTGAGACCTTCTCTCATTTGGGGGGTTTGTCTTTGTTGTTTTGTTTTGTTTTCAATCAGGATCTCACCATATAGTTTATGGTGATCTTGAACTCACATGTAGCCCAAATTGGCCTTGAACTCACAGGGATCCTCCCACCTTAGCTTCTCAATGCTGAGATTATAGGTGTGTGTCACCATGCCCAGCTTGCCTTCCCTAATTTTTAAAATATTTTTAGTTTATAATTAATTATAAATATAACTATAATGAGTAACTGAATTATAAAAGTTTAACCACCATGTTGATCAAAATGTAGAATATTACTGTACCCCAAAAAACTATTTCGTAAATGTCCACAATCATAATCCCTTGATCCTTCAGAAGATAACCACAGTCATAATTGTTACGCAAATCACTTATTTGCTTCCAACTATATATCTTAAGCAAAATAGTTTCATTGTTACCCATTTTTGTGCATCATGCACATAAAATATTGTGTGAATTTTTTTGTCTTTGGCTCACTTACAGTTGTCCAGTCGTTTCATCCTCCTTGTGTGTACCACAGTTATGGTTCCTTCTCTTATTGCTGTAAGCTGTGGCTCTCAGACATTTTGGTCTTGTGATCCCTTTACATTGTTGAAAATCATTGAAGATCCTAAAGAGATTTAGCTTATATGGGTTATATCTATCCATGTTTGCCATATTAGAAATTAAATTGATTATTTAAAAATATATGTTAATCCACTTTAAACAACAATATGAAGCTTTATATATGTTGACATGAGCAATTCTATGAAAAATAACTTCTTGAAAACATAGTGAGAAGATTGGAATTCTTTTACATTCTTTATTGATTGGCTTAATAGAAGACAACTAGTTTTTCATAACAATTTTTCCTGGGGGTTTTTATTTTAAAGAGAATAAAACAAAACAGAACAAAGCAGATTAGAACAGAACAATGTAAGCAATATAGGACTTCAAAACAGGACAACAAGAAATCAACAGTGGCTACCATAATTTCTCTTACTTTCTTTGAAATAGCTGTCCTTACCTTCAGAAACAATAAATTCAAGCAAAATAAAACAGTATAAAGCCAATCAAAACAAAAGATGGGAAGAATTACAGGCCCTCAAAACCAGACAGTAGGAAATCAACAATGGGTACCACAATGTCTCTTGTTCTCTTCAAAATATCTGTCCATTCCTTCACCCATATTGAAATCAAGTAATAGAAAGTAGACTAAAACCATTCAAAACAAGAAAAAAGCATTATTGAACTTCAAAGCAAGATGATAGAAAGTCAGTAACAGCTACCATAATGTCTTTTTTTCTTCAATATAGCTATTCATACCATCACACATAATAAAATCAATTCTTGTAAATTATTTAGGAGAAGTTCTAGGCATGTATAAGCCTATACATGTACATCTATGCTTTCTGTATTAGAGGGAAAAATATAACAAAATACAAGGAAAATAACAAACAAAAGAGACAAATAACAATAACAAAGAGCCAAAAGCAGTAACAAGCAAGGTGGTAGGAACATAACAAACATTATTTTGCATAGTTATCTTCAAAAGAGTTACTTTGATTACCAGATATAAACATGCAAAATTGATCTAATTCTATGAATGTTAATTGTTTTGTTCAACAACTAATAGAATTAATAGCATAATCATTTTAGCTATCTTAAGTGTACATATACAAATTTATATCATTTTTATTTTCCGTTCTTCTTTTCTCCTTTTTTCCTGAGTTATTTTACCCCTTTGAGCAATTTCTTACCCTTTTATGATACTTATTGAAGATTTTGTATCTTATTGTACTCTTTCAGTTTCTTACACTAGGGAGACAATATTCTACTTACACATGAACGTTTTGGATTATTTCACCTATGAATATGGTCTCAAGTTGAATCCGTTTACCTATAAATGCCTCAATGTGATCCTTCTTTATAGCTTAGTACTCCATTGCATAAAAGTAACACATCTTTTTTATCCATTCCTCAGTTGATTGGCACTTAGGTTGTTTCCAAGATTTAACTATTACAGATTATACTACTATAAACATGGATGTACATATATCACTGTGGTATGATGTTTTCAGTTCTTCTGGGAATATTCCCAGAAGCGGAATAGCTGGCTCAAATGGGACTTCTAATCCCAGATTTTTGAGGGATCTCCAGACTGACCTCCACAGTTGTTGCACCAGTCTACACTCCCAACAACAGTGCAGAAGAGTTCCTTTCCCCCACAGCCTCTCTAGCATTTGTTATTGATGGTTTTCATAGCCACTTTTGCATCCACACTGTTGCAATGTGTTATTTTGGCAGCTTGTACTCTCAGTTGTTTACCTTGAAGTGATAACATGCTCACATAATTCATTTTCCCAAACAAAGTCTGCCAAATATAAAAATTTGCATAACCCTAATTCACTTATCAATTATTCTTTCAATTAAAAATGATGATTCTTGCAAAAAGTAGCTAGTTCAGCTTGCAACACAAATCATGGGACAAATGCTCGTTCTGCACACGACTGTGGTACTTCAGTGTGCACAGAAGGGCTTCATGCACTCTTCCTGCTTCTTCACACCTAATGTAGAAGACATCTAACTCACAGTTCCAAGCAAGTGCATTCATACGAGGAACTTCTTTCTTGCTTTTTTCTTTTTCTTAACTGTGAACATGTGTCACTGAAAGATAAAACTTCAGTGCTTCATTGACACCAACAGTTTTAGCATCATTACTTGTACACTTTCAGTGCAAAGCTTCTCACAGTGCCAAAGGCAAATGTCTTTAAGGTACTTGAAAAAGACTACCTCATGTTTTGTCCTACTTTTTCAGTTATGCATAACACCAGCCTATTATACTTTTTTCAACTTTTGTCCTTTCTTACTGAGTGAGAAACAGTTTATTTTATGAGTTTTACTGGCTTCTTTTTATCTGGGTGACAGTCCTCTAATTTTGGAATTCAATTAATCTGTATTACCTATGGTTACTTACTGAAGTGAATTTTAGTCATTTTATTATATGTGTCATTTTTTTTCCTTTCCTATTTTCTTTTGAATTAACTGAAGTTAAAGGTTTTTTTATAATATTAAAAGATATTTACTCTATTTCTATCCTTTAAATTTTAACAAATATGTTTTTTAAAAAGAAGGTTTAGGTTATATAGTAGCTTTACTCTTTTCCTGGATAATTGTTTAAATTACAGCTTTATATTCTTTAAACTTTTTAAACTTTTTTGCATTCTATATGTAATCACTTCAGTATCTGAGGTCTGTTCTGTTATTCTTTATAGTGACTGTTATTTATCGTAGCCAGTGGCTTTTGGTTTAGTAGTTTTGCATTTTGAGGAATGTCTTTTTGAAGATTCTTCACAGACTCAGTTAAAGACATCACTGCAAAGTGAGATTATATCAGGTTTTTCTTTTGTCAGTTTTTTCCTCTGTGACATACCTGGAGCTAAGTATGATGATGCACATTTGTAATCCCAGCTGAGGTAGGAGGATCAGGAGTTCATCCTGGGCAATTTAGCACCTTACGGAAACCAATTTTCATGCATACATACATATATACATACTTAGAATTTATACAAAAGACACACCCGGGGACACTGCATTCCCACACCACTTTAAATTATCCTCAAATTACTATTTGTAGGGCTACAGTTGTCATAGTGGCACAAAATATAAAGATACAGTTTTGTTTTTATTCGGATGTCTGTTTAAATATCATCTAGTTAAGACAATTTACTGTCTGCTTTTGTGGTGTGTTGATTTTCCCATGGTTGACCTAATATCTGAGTAAAACGTTTTTCAGACCCTAACTTTGAATAGGGGACATGGAGAACTTTGGAGAGCTGTTACTCTGCTTACCGTAGTGATGTGTTACCATCTCTATCTACATCAAGCTTTTTAACTTTTTCTTTGTTTCCTGTCTCCCTTTCCTCCTTCTCTCCTGCCAGCCTGTTTTCCTTCCTTCTTCCAGTAGGTATCATGGAATGGCTTGAATTAGGATCCAGCTTTGACTTAGCCAAAATGGCACAGGGAACTCATAACCAAAATTACAAGTTTAAGGAAGTTCTACTAATAACAGACTCTGAAATAGGCAAAAAGTATAACTGATTGGGGTTAATATATTCAGGACTCATTTTGTCTGTGTCTTCCATTTTTGAAGTTCTTCTAAACTATATTTGTGTTAAATCTCTTTTTATGAAAATTTATGCTTAACATAACTCTAATGAGAGGACCTAACACTCAGATCATAGATACTCAGAACTTCAGAAAGTCTTTACAAATTGTCCTGTATTTACCTACCAAAACATTCTGAATTTTCTGCTTCATACCATCACGAAGCCCAGTCACATTTGAGCACTTCCCCTGTGGTCTATGTGTAGTCTGTATGCATATTTTCTGGTTTTATGTTTATTTATTTTGCATTTCATGCTATTAAATTCTAGTTTGATTTTCCTATCTACTTTTAAGTTTATTTTAAATGCTATTTTTCTAGTGTTACAGTTTCTTACAGTTTTCCATGTGCTGAAAATTTACTCCTAATTTAATCATATTTCATTAAAAATATAATGATCAAAGTTATAATATGCATATATGAAAACATCTCAATTAAACCCAGTATTTCGTACAATTAATATGCACTAATAAAATATCTAATACACAAAATTAGAAGATCTTTTAATAATTTCTAGATGCATTATAATTTTATTTCTGGCTCTTTTATTTTCACTTACTTGTTTATTGACTTTTATAGTACCAGGGGTTGAACCCAGGGCCTTTGCACCCGGACACTTAAATGATTGAGGCTAGACTCAAATTGGCTATCCTCCTGCCTCAATGCTTCTAAGTGTCTTGATTACTGTCATGCACTGGCGTGCAGCACTTCACAAAAGATTTTTAAAAGAGATTCTGGGCTGGAAATTTAGCTCAGGGCACAATGCCTGCCTGGCAAGCACAAGGTCATGAGTTTGATCCCCAGTACCAAAATGAAAAAAAAAGGATAAATAAAATAAAATAATATGAAATAAAATAAAATAAACAATAGAGATTCTTTTTGTTTAAAGATTCAAGTTAGGCTTGCATCTTGCCCTTTTCATAAAAGGACTGAGCTACTCTGCATCCTGGTGCCTCCATCAGCACAGGAAGCAGTACTGAGAGCAGGTGGTACCCTGTCCTTGTCAGGGGCTACAGAGTAGCTTAGCCTTGTGCGGTGGACACCCACAAAAGCCCAAGTGGCCTGGGGCTATTTGACTTACTCAGCTGTATTTCTTTATCCTAATAAGCTCTAAGTCAATTTAAACTTTGTTTCTCTAATATATAGATAAGATTATTTCATTTTGGCACACTAACAAGGTACATGATAGCCAGAAATAATCTATTTCTAAATGATGGTTTTAATAGGTTGTTGTAAATTTATGAAAATTTTCATATAAATTACTTCATACAAAACATGAAAAAAAAATTTCTGTTTCACACTTTCTTAGAAGTTATACCTAAGCAGGCAGACGGAGAAAAAGATAGGAGACTTTGATGCTTTTTAACAAAGCCGCATTGTACTTAGAAATAGTGGTGAAAATCCATTACAGCTTTGAAAGCACCAGAGGTTTCCCAGCTGTGTAACACAACACTATTGTGTGCAGCAGAAAACAAAAGGGTAAGCTAATGTGTTTTCTTTTAAGGTTGGTTAAAAGAGATGTAAAGTGTGTAAATTGTCACTCTTTATGACTGTCCTTCAGATTTCGGTTTTGTTTCTTAAAACTTCCACAGGTACTTAAAACAGATGCAGAGGAACTCGTCTCCCGAAGCTATTGGGACACACTGAGGCGAAACACAAGCCAAGCGCTCTTCTCAGACCTCGCAGAGGTACAGTTAACCCTCAACAACATCCTCTCACTGTTGCCATTTTGTTCACCAATCCCCGTTTTGTTTGAGTCACAGAAATGAAACAAAATTGTACTATATTTTCTAGTTTCTTCAGTAAAATAATAGTTACCATATTTAAACCACATATTCAAAGATACCAATTGGGCAGGGGCTGCAAACCACTTTCAATAATCTGTGTTAAATAAACTTCCTCATTATAGAAAACACAACTGGCCAATTTAGTTAAAAGGAAATAATGTTGTGTTTTAATTAAGGATCACTTTCTCAAATTTTGGAAATTATAATGGTATAGTCTCACTGAATCTTAAGCTTACAATTTACAATATGACATGAAATGCTGAGATGTTTCATTTGGTAAAACTTGACTCCTGTTAGATTTCAGCAGTTACATTTTCTAGTGTTAGCAGTGGTAGTTTGCAAAGGCCAGGGAATGAGGCTGAAGAGGGTTCTGGTAGAACAGTCAACCAAAGGATGGAGGAATCTTACTTCAGGTTGCCGGTACATGGTGAAAATAAAAGGCAGACTGACGCCCATTGTAGTTTTATTACTGTTTTTAATTTGATATGGACATATACCTTGTTACTGCACTCAGGGTGGAGTGCTTTCACCTCGCCACTTATGTGAGGCCACAGTCCATAAGGATTTTAATTTTAAAGGATGGACTGTATCTTATAGATCAAATACTGTTTTATGTTTCCTCATAAGAATTTATACAGTTAAAACTAACATTTTCATAATTAAAATTATCATAGGTAGGCACACACTAGTCTGTGCTTTAAAATAAGAGCAGCTGGGAACACATTCCTTGTTAATCTCCTGAGCCAGTTGTGGCCTCCCCGCTCAGCTTCAGATGAACAGTAATGTCACTGTCATCTCTCTCCATACCAGTGTCGACCTCCTGAACAACAGCCCTTCCATAATCCCACCTAACTTGGCTATAAATTCCCAGAGACAAAATTTTCTCATTAGATTTTGAATTTAATTAAAATCTTGAGAGGCTTCATATTAAAAGACCAGTCAGATCTTGTTATACTTAGGTGATGATTTATGTAATACCTTTGAAAAGAGTTTATGATTCTATTACAGCTATACTGGAACTGACTTTTATAGCTTCCCAGAGCCAGTTTTGTACATCTCTTCCAAGCTCAACATTTTTGTGACTTCCTGTGGTCCCTTGAAAGTAGCCTTGATAGAACTAGTAGTGGCACAAAAACAAGCACTACAAATCAGCCAGTTATTTATTTTTCTGGCATATCAGTTTAACATGGCTATTATCAGTCCACACTGTGATTACAAGGTACTGAATTAATTACTGAATGGACTCCAGACATCAGGATGTAAATCTCATAAAACATAGAAAAAGAGAAAAAGAAACTAAAACAAAATTTGTATTGTGTTCCAAAATAAAATAATTATTGGTTGTTATTTTTGTTACTGTCATCCTACATTGCAGAGAATAATAATGTAAATTAGCTGTAATTAAATTACAAGAAATTTTAATTCCTTGTCAGTTAATACATATACCAGCATAACATAGTATAATTTATAGTATTACTTCACCATTGAAATACATTTTTAAAAGCTTGCAAATTTCTCTTCTTTACAAATTTAATGTATAATTTTGCATTGCTTTGTTACATGTATAATTTGAGATGAAGTAGTTCTTTTGAACTACTATAGGTAAATTGGATAATGCCTTTCATCTTCTTATTCAAGTGTTTCCAACTATAGATATTTTTAATTACAGTAAAACAATGTCTTTCCAATCATACAATGAAAATTTGCATGTCATAACTGATACCACTTTTTAACCAAAATCATATGTTATAAATTCAGATATTCAATAAACATATTGTGGAACTGCTGATTACAGTCTGTCTGTAACACTATTTTGAATATGTGAAATTTAAATTTTTCTTATATGCTTTACATGCTCATTGTCTTTAATGTTTCAATAAAGTATGCAAACATCTCATTAAAGTATCTGAAGATTTCTTTTAACCCTTGAAGAGTGTGTAAATTATGTTATAATCAGTAAAAATATATTGAAAGATGATTTTAAAACTTTAATAGTTTGACAAATTTACATTCATGTAAATTTATTTCGTTTTTTTTTTCAAATCACTATGAATGCATGTATGTATGTGTGATCAGGCATGGTAAGCATACACTGCCACAGAGCTATGCAAGCCCCAACCTAAAGTAATTTTTAATCAGAACAAATTTAGACAATAGCCTTTCATGTAAATGGCCCATAGGTTCCTTTTGTGGCTTTTTCTCACAATTTTGTGAAAACACCCAGATTAATTTTATCTTTCCAAAAAAATCAAAGGAATAAGGTCTCTATTTTTATCACAACTCTCTTTCAAGTTATATAATATGGATACTCAGGTCATTTGTGTAGTTTTCAATGACTCCAAGAAGTACTCTGTTTCACCAACGGAGGGGAAAGTTTTCTCCATTTCCCTTTTCTGCTTTTTTTCCTCTGATGTCACACTGTTACCTATGCCTCTGTGGTTCTGGATTACCTGGATGCGTGCAACCTGAGTCTAATAAGATTTGGGTGCTGAAAGACTACGTGAAGCTCTGCTCTGCTCAGTGAGCCTGAGAACCTCTAAATGAGGTCATTATATAACACCTGTATAAAACCAGGGCTCTCTTTTAGTCTGCTCTGTTTTGAGGTAGAGAATATGACAACATTGGAGAAAACATTGCCTAATTATATATTGAGTTTGCTAACTTTCCATGTTCCCAGAACCTCTCATATTAAGGCATTTTTTTCAGATCTTTAAGTATTTATTTCAGTAACAAAAAAGTGTATCATATTAAAAATCTTTCTTTTTTTTTTACAACATCTCAGCATTACTATCTTTTTGTCATCTAGTCTTTTCAACTTATTGAAACATTAACTTGACAAAAATAACAATAGCTAACTTTTTTTTCTTGGCTATATTGGGATTGAACCAGGACGTTCTCACTGAGCCCCCATTCTTTTTTGTATTTTTTATTTTGCAATAAGATCTAAGTTACCCAGGTTGGACTCAAATTTGAGATCTTTCTGCCTCAGCTTCCCAGAGTGCTAGGCATGTACTACCACATAACCAACATTTCTTGAACATTTACAACGTGAGTGTATTAGTCACAGTGCTAAAAATTTACATGTGATATCTCATGCATATATACTATTATTCCTGGAGATAATGTCCTGAGAAAGATTACTTTTCTAAGGTCATTTAAATAATGAGAAGGGTCAGCACTCAGAGCCATCAATCTGACAGTTGACCTTTTGCTTACCACACTACTGCTTGTTTGTGAAATACACACCTTTTTTAAAAGGGAAGTATGCTGGTGGGAAGAAGCTGTTCTATGAGGCTTTTGGTCATTCTTACCTCAGCTCCGTGTATTCAGTACACCTGAAGAATTTACCTCTTTTGAACATCCTAAAGAAACAGATATTTCAGGTTTATTAGGAAAATCCAAATTAAGTTATTAATAAAAACAGTACATTTAGATGATCCTAGAGGATTTAAACATAATTTACCATGTACGTGTATAATTTGAGGTTGAAAATTTCTCAAAATATCACCTATGTCTTTAACGTTTTTTTAGGAAAAAAACATCAGTTTTGTTCAAATTTCTGTTATCAAAGTGTGAACTTCATTTTAATTATAATTTCATTTATAAACTTAGCCTGTGCTTAATTCTAATGTTAATACATTGCATTTTGATGTTTATATGTTGATAAAATTCTTTGAGGGATATTAGATATCTCTATGCTCTGTCTTTTGTTGCAACTAACTTAATTTGTGGGGATTTTTTAGCGAGCTGATGACATCACAAGTTTAGTAGCAGATACTACACTTCTTGTCCACTTTTTTGGAAAGAAAGGAAAAGCTGAGCTCAACTTTGAAGATTTTTATAGGTGAGCTTAATTTCTACTAAAAATTATTAGAATGCTAAAATCACAAGGGTCTTTAGAGATGTCTAGTACTTTGATAGCACTTTGCTACTTAACAAAAGATACTTTGTATGAACTCTTAAAGAGTAAATAAGATCCAATATATACAATAGATATTGTGAAAGTGAAAGGGAAGGAAACTGTTCAAAAGGAAAAACTAGGATAGGAGAAAGGAGAAAAGAAAGAAGGAAAAAAAAGTATGTCTGTATATATTCATATAAACATGCATATATATACACACACAAGATAGATAACTATACTACTAATCTCTGTTATAGAAAAAGAACAGTTTGTGCTTTCATTATTCGATTGTTTGATCATTTCTTTCATATCTTTATCTTGTACTCTGAACAATAACTTTAATAATGACAACATGCAATATATTAACCAGTGTTAATCTATTGTTTTGTTTTGAAATTCTGTATCATTTTTAAATAAAAAAGATACTTGTATGATAAATATGCATTTTCAGCAGTGCTTATAAACTAACAGTTATACCCGTAATTAGAAAAAGTAATTAATGAATGATAAAAATATCTATGTGGGTTATTATCCATTATATATTCAGATGAAAAGCCAATTTCTTAGCTTGAGTTAACCACAGTAATAACAACAAACATCACTATTCTGCAAGCTACATTAGCCCCACTTCATAGAAGGGAAACTCAAGCCCTGAAAGGTTAAGTTGCTTACCTGAAATGTCACAGTCATTTAGAGGAAAAGCCTCATAATTTATGCTGTTTGCTTTCTTATTATACTGAGAAATTTAATGAAGCTTTTGTCATCTTATAATTAGTGTCATGTGGCCTTTTATAGAACAGTGACTATTTGGTCATTTATCTTATTCATTTTTTATTGCACTTCTTTCATAGATTCATGGATAACCTCCAAACAGAAGTTCTAGAAATAGAATTCCTTTCCTACTCTAATGGAATGAATACTATCAGTGAGGAAGATTTTGCTCATATTCTTTTACGATATACAAATGTGGAAAATACATCAGTATTTTTGGAAAATGTGCGTTACAGTATACCTGAAGAGAAGGTATCTGTTGTTTATTTTGTTTTATTCATTTTATGTTTATGTAAGTCTATAAATAGGTTTCCCTTTTGTTAGGGAATTTTGTAGGGCATTTCCCTTGTAAATTAAGATATTCTAAATACATTTTACTTTTTCCTCTGTATCCTCAGTACTGTTTAAATATTTTAAAATTAGCTTTAAATTCTAGATACCCTTCTTTGTCTTAGGTATGCTGAGAAAACCCTTATGGCTATTATCAATTACTTTATTCAAATTCAGATCATTAGTTTTCAAGAGAATTCCGCTGATTTACATGCTTTGACTAGTGTTTAAACATCACCTCATAAAACAGTTTATATTGACATTATTTCTGTCACACTCTGTTCACTTGTGTGACACTCTTTCAAAGGCCATTTGAAGACTGCCCATTGATGAGTGAATGACCTTATCAGAAGCTGAAGTGAGGCCTTTCAAAGAGTTTGGATGGCATGAATGGTTAAGAGCCTACAGACAACTGGTTGTCTATTTGTTTAGTAACAAAATGTGTTGTCAGCACTTCTGAGAGTTGCATTATCTAGAGGTATTTGAATGCACCATTGCAACCAAATAGAACTGATGTCACAAGTACCCCTGTAAGCATGGGGATGTTTTGGATACATTGCCTTCTAATTGTGTTTATAGGAGGATCGGGTTAATGTCCAACTAAAACATTGCAAAAAGTTTGACATTGTTTGGAATGGATACACTGTGACAATGTTTTAACAATTCTCTAGGTCCACTAAGGAATGGAAAAAAAGGAATTTGATGCATTTGCCCATTAGTATACATTATCTCTTAACCAGGGGACTTTTATCTGTTTTACTTGAAATTCAGACAATTTCTAAAAATAAATATTGGATATTGTACCATTCACAGTACTAGATTATTTTGTGGGACCTTGAATCTATTTTTTCTCTTATTAAATGGAAACATCAAAATCTATAACTCATAAGGTCGAATTCTAAGAATGATGAATTTATAGGTGCATATAATGCTATTTTATAGCTAATTTTTATATCTAAAATTATTTCAAAATAAGTATTTTTAAGTTAAACTCAGCTTCTAAAAATTCCTAGTTGATAAAAGCACTAAAATCATTACAACAGAAATGGAAAATGACATTCTCACTGGTAATTTTTTGTCTGGATTAGTTCATCACTTCTCACGATAAACTTGCAAATGTTGACATTGTTGACATTTTTTCATGCTTCTTTGTTATGATTTTTTTTTTGTCTTTTTCTTTTTTATCGGTACCAGGGATCGAACTCATGACCACACACTTGCAAGGCAGGCACTTCTGCCATTGAGCTAAATCCCCAGCCCTTTCATGCTTCTTTATAATAATTTCTAATTTAAAAGAAATTTTTATTAGTATAGTACATCTTTTTTTATTTTTGGAAAAAGGGAAACTAAAGTTTTCAGGAACTAGGATACTTATCCAAGAAATCAAGTCTAGCATTTTGTAAGCCGATTGTATCTCTACTGTTATGTCAAAATGGACAAAACACAGGAAGAAATGATGCCAAGGAAGTTTAAGAAGTTTATTGGACTAGTGGGCCCTGACTGGAGTCCAGCCCAAAGAGTCAGAGCTTTGGGGTTTTGGGGTTTTGTTGGGAGAGGAAGGAGGAGGTACAAAGGCAGGCTTAGAATGTTATCATTGGTGGGTTCAGGGACGTCACAAGTTGCTGAGGGAATTTTTACTTCTCAAGTTACATTGCCAGGCCATCAGTTAAACAAGCATGGGCTACCCAAAGGAAGGAATGTTCTGTTATCATATCTGATATGTCCACTTGGTGTTGCAGGCACTCTTGGCAGGCTTTTACTTAAAATTTTAATTTCTCCTTTATTACTATACCCTACCTGTTTTTCCCTTTCTCCTACCTCATCTTTTTCTATTAGAAAAAACAGGACTACTATTTAAATAACACTTTGTATTGCTAAAATATTCTCATTTTCAGTCACTTATCTAGCATATACTGATAATCTACTTAGGAACTCGATCTCACTACTAAGGAAAAAACAGTGAAATAAGTAAAATCTTAGTAGTGGAACAGAATCAATAAGTAAACAAAAATAAATAGTGATAATAAATGTGAAGGGTCCAGGAATCGTGGGGGCTGGAAAAGCAAGTCAGGGAGAGAGCTAGTGAGAGGTAGGGCACAGGGAAGAGTCCATGAGAAATAAATAAGCTGTGCAAAGACTTGGAAGGAGAGCATTTCAGGCAGAGAAAACAGCAAATAACAAAAGGAAGGGAAAGGTGAAAAAGGATTGATTTAGCTCAGAAAATACCAAGAAGCGTTTCATAAGTAAACAGGAAAGCAGTATGAGGATAGATAGATACGAGTCAGGTCTTTAAGGGCCTTTGTGAAGTATAGGTTTTTTTATTCTACTGGTGACACTAAGAGTGACAGAAAGCTAATATAAAGTTTAAATTTTACTTTTTTTATTTTAAGATAAAAAAGAAAAAATTTCAATACCAGACAATAGGAGAGTAACAATGGTTAGTACATTCATATTATCTTTAAATTATTTACTCAGAGTAACCTCTGTCAATCCCTGCTACCACCACCACCTCCACCTGCTTTTGTATATAAAGTCTTACTGGAACATAGCCGTGCTTATTCATTTAATGCCTTGTCTGCCAATACTTTTGCATCATAACAGTAAAATTGAGTATTTTCAAGAGAGACCACCTACACAGCAAAAGTGAAAATATTTACTCTCCATCCCCTTGCAGAAAAGTTCACAAGCCTTGCTTTACTAGGCATGCCATTCATGCACTGTCCATTCAATAAGTATTCAGTGACTGCTAGAACACTCAGCTGTGATCTAATTCATCTACCACATATAATTTGATTAATGTTTCACAAGCTCATTTTGGCTGCTGTATGATAATAAACTCTAGTTGACCTAGATTTGAAAGAAACAAGTTAAGATTCTCTTGTTAGGATTCCAAGTAAAAGATAAAAATAGTTTGGACCAGGATAAAAATAAGGAAAAGGAATGAGATATTGGATCATTTAAAACAGGTGATAGATCTTGTTCCCGGGTTATACTTCAGTGTGAAGGAAGAGAAAAATCAAGAATTCTTAGGGTTTGGCCTTCATCACAAGGTACAGTAATGGTAGCATTTATGGAACGAAGTAAGAAAACAGGTTTGGGATTAAGAGAGACAGTCAAAAGTTTAACTATGGACCAGCTAAGGTTGCTATTCCTACTTAGATGACCTAAGTGAAGATATTAAGCAGTTGAATATGTGCTTCTAGCCTTCAGAGTACAATCAGGACTACAGATTGGTAGTCAGTAGTGTATTAACTTCAAGATTATGTCTCCCCTTAAATTTCTGCATCTTACATCATCTTGCCCATTTGGTATTTCCGTTTGCTGATCCAGGAGATATGTTAGACTTACTGTTGGCAAAATTTGTTCCACACACCATCTTCCCAGTTTCATTTAATGGAAACCCCGTTATTCCTAGTTCACTTCCAATACATTTTAATTATACCAAAGTAAACCCTTTTAACATTCAGCAAGTCCTTTCCATGTCCTTCTTTCCCCTCCATCCGTGTGGCCATCACTCTGCTTTGTGTCTGTGGATTTACCTATTGCAGATAGTCAGTTTACCTGGACTCAGACATATGTGACCTTTCAATCTCTTCAATAATGATTTTGAGGTTCATTCACATCATAGTATATATCATTCTTGTTATGGTTGAATACTCCATTATATGTATATACCAAGGTTTATTCATTCATCTATTTGAGCTATTTCTGTCTTTTGGCTGTATGAATAGTGCTGCTAAGTGTATATGTGTGCGTGGATTTGTTTGAATACCACTTCATTCCTTTTCTGTGTACACCAAAAGTGGAATTGCTGTCAGACATTATCACCCATATTGTGTTATCATTATTATACCCATGCTAGAAATACCCATGTAGTTACTTAACTATCGTTCTTGTTCCTTTATATGGCTACAAATTACTATTCCTTTCATTTTTAGCCTCAAGGACTTCCTCGAATTTGTAGGAGGGAGGTGTTTAAGGGCAGACGTGTGAGTGATAAACTCCTCTAGCTTTTGTTTATCTTTGTTTTAATTTCCTCTTAATTTTTGAAAGATTTTTTTTTTTTGCCAAATATATAACTCTTGGTTGATGGGTTTATTTCAGCACTTGAAATGTATCCCGTGTTCTAGCCTCATGGTTTTGATGAGAAATCAGCTGCTAATTTTATTGAGGGTTGTTTCTATATCAGGAGTCATTTCTCTCATGCTGTTTATAGGATTATCTTTTTGTGTTTGGCTTTCACTAATTTACTAATAATGTGGCTTAGTGCAGGTCTCTGTAAATTTGTCCTCCTTAGAGTTCATTCAGCTTGCCGAATGTGTAGCCTCATGTCATTCACCACATTTGGAAGTTCTTCCCACTATTTCTTTAGTATTCTTCCTGTTCATCTCTTTGTCTTTCCTTCTTTCAGTCTCTTTAAAGCATATGTTGATAACGCTTGATGGCATCGCAGGTCCCTTAGACTTTGTTCATTTTTCTTTATTCTTTTCCTTCTACCCCTCACATTGTATAATTTAAACTGTCCTTTGATTTCACTGATCCCTTATTCTGCTTGCTGAGAACTGCTGATGAATCTCTGTGGTGAAGTTTTCATGTCAGCTATTAGCCTTTCTATCTCCATAATTTGGTTTGGTTTCTTTATATAGTTTTTTGATATCCTGATTTTGATCATCATTTTCCTATTGTTTTGTTATTGTTGTTGTTGTTTGTGATTTCCTTTAGCACTTGTGAATACATTTGAGAAAGTTGATTTAAAGTCTTTGTCGAATCAGTCCAATGTCTGGAATACCTGAAAAGAGCTTCTGCCTATTTATTTTTTTCCAGCAAATGGACCTTATTTTTATTGCATGTCTTGTAATTTTTAGTGAACACTGGACATTTTGAATATTACAATCTGGTAACTTTAGAAATAATATTCTCACTCTGTAGTTACCCATTTCTTTTATAGCTTTCCCAAACTGTTTCGTGAAGGCTGCGTTCTTTGTTGTATGTAATCATCAAAGTCTGTTTTGTTGTCTTAGTGGTCAAACAGTGAACTGATTTCCTTAAAAGCCTATAGTCAGAGAGAAGAATAGTAGTGTTCTCTTAGTGTTTGGAGCTTGGCTGTGAATTAGATTACTCCTTGAACACTAAACCAGACTGCCTGAAACTTTTCTTTAGGCTTTACCTCCTGCTTGAGCAAAAGCATACAAACGTGACAGAGGTTGTAGCTTGGGGTCCTCTTGGGTCTTTTCTGAGTATGTGTGCATTGTGATCCAGTTCCCCAGGAATATAAAATGGCCCTTAGAATCTCTGTTACCCCATTAACCATTATTATCAGTTTCCTCCATTGCAAGCTTCTGAATATTGTCTGCCCCTTTCTATATCATATCCTCAATGCAGGTGGGTGTGGAGTATGTGTGCCATTAAATCTGTTGACAGATGCAGCTTTCACCAGGTGAGCTGCTCCCGTGCAAGAAGGAGATGCAAAACAGCCAGCCTCTGCTGGTCCCTCGGGGTCAAGTCACACACCGCTGTGTTTTGAGGTCAAGGTCCATATGAGCCCCCTAACAACAGTAAGCTACACCGAGAATGCCACCTCCCATCTCCAAGGCTGCTTCCACAGCACTGAAAAATAATGGAGGGTAGCTCAGTGGCTGAACACACCACAGTAATTGGTCAGTGAATTTCAGCCATTCTTTTCTTCATTGACCAGTCCCATGCTTGCTATAAATTTTGAATTACATTCCAGAATTTTTTTAAGTGGATTTTCTTGGTCTTTCCCAGTTTATGCTTGTTTCTGTAGAGGAACTGATTCTTTAAGTATTATTCTTTGCCATTTCCATGGTGGCAGTCCCCCATTCTCCTTCTGTACATTTGACAGTTATTCAGGCTTACATACTTCAGTCATGTTAAGGAAAGAAACTGCACACATTGGGCAGTTACATCTGTTTATTTGTCAGCTAACTATTATGAGTATAGACCAAACACTATCACTCTGAACAACCAGTGTAATTACACTAGCAATTTGATATCTATAACTTTTTTTTTTAGATTAGAGTCTTGCTCTGTAGTTCAGGCTGGTCTTGAACGCACTACTGTATATAACCCAGGCTGGCTTGGAGCTTCCCATAGTCTTCCCACCTCAGTCTGCTGAGCATGGGGATTATAGGCATGCACCACCACAACCTGCTCTCCACAATTTTCTTTGCTTTGTGTTTTTATTGAATTATATCTTATTAACTATGTCAGTTTTCCCCACTTATAACTCAGCACTGTTCAAGGAAAATGTTCCAGTAAATGCCTTTATCACATCCTAAATTACGTATTTCAGTAAATGTATATAATTTTTATTGTGGTAAAATATATATGACCTGAAGTTTACTATCTTATATGTGACATGAAATTTACTACCTTAACCATTCTAAAGTATAAAATTCAGTGGGAGTATATATATTCACCATGTTATATAACCATCACCTCATTGCTTCCAAAACTTTTTTATTATCCAAACAGAAGCTGTCCACCCAAAGGGAACTGAGTATATGCTTTGGAGTAATTAGTTATATGTGTTTAACATTCTGAGGAACTACCAAACTGTTTTCAAAGTAACTACGCCATTTCTATCCCTTTTCAATCCCTTAGCAGTGTATGAAGTTTCTAATTTCTGTACATGCTCACCAGCACTTACTGTCTGACACTTTATTTTAGTAGGTATGAAGTGGTATCTATTGTGATTTTTATTTGCATTTCTCTAGGAAGTAATTATATTCAGCATTTTTTCATGTATTTGTTGGCCATTTATATATCTTCTTTGGATAAATGTATGTTTAAGTCCTTTGCTTATTTTCTAAGTTGAGTTTTTTGTCTTTTTGGTATTGATTGTGAGAATTTTTATATATTCTCTATTAAGACAATAGAGATATGTAGATATGTAAGTTATCTCTCCTGTGGTGGGTTATCATTTCGATTAGTATCCTTTGAAGCCTACAAGTTTTTAATTTTGATAAGATCTAATTTATCTATTTTTTTCTTTTGCATGTTGTATTTTAGGGTCATATTTAAGAAACTGTTGTCAAGTAATATGTCACAAAATTCTGTCTCTGGTTTTCTTTTGTAAGATTTTATAATATCAATAATTAAATGTGATTGATTTTTAATTTTTGTAAATAGTATGGAGTAAGGGTTTGACTTCTTCCTTCTGTGTATTGGTATCAAGTTGTCTGAGCACCATTTGTTGAAGAGACAGTTGTTTCCAAGGTAAATGGTATTATCATCCTATTGAAACATCAACTGACCAATAGACATTTGGGTTTCTGCACTTTTATTGTATGTATTTTTTGATACTTTAATTTTGTTTCAGTTCTTACCATTGTTTTGTTATTGTTGAAATGTTAGCCATTTTTCATTTTACCTCTAAGAGGATACACTACATTCGAGTCCCAGCGAGTTACTACAGTTTTAATTCTGGATGAGGGTGGACAGAAACAGTCATTACGCTTATTTCTGTCCCACCTCCAGATTGTCTGTGTCTCACTGCTATAGAGGATGATTGCTTTAAATTATGTCCTTCAAAATAGATGTCCTACTTTTTTGTCTCACAATTTCATAGTTTCAGACGTGTATAAGCTGTACATAAAGATCCCTGTGTGGTTGTGAATTTGACGTGTCTTTCGAGACAGTTAGAACTGTATTTTGAACATCTAAAAATTCAGATGTTGAACACTGAGGTTTGTCATCCTTCAGTTTGTTTCTAAAATTCATTCTCCTCAAAAGCATTGATATCTTTGTTCACCTCTTGCTTAGCAATATCCCATCATCCTATTTCTTGTTATTTCTAGCAGTAACTTTTTATCTTGAGACAGACTGTTGCTGTGGCAGCTGGTCACAGTGTAAACATTCAGACCCAGAGCAGTAATCAGTTTCCCTGGCAACAGGCTCTCCACATCCAAACAGATCCTTCTGGTGCAGGCTGTCTGATTCTAACAGCGCTGCAGAAATCATTGGAGGTCACAGCAGAATCCAGGATTACAGTGGCCATGACAAATATAAGAAAAACAAAACAGAAAAATATAAAGATCAAAAGACAATGAGGACTCACAGTGCAAGTAAAAGAGGTTTTGGAATTGAAGTGCAGATAATGTATATCAAAATTTGGGTATTTTGCTAATAGATCATATGACCAGTGATCAGTATACATGAAAATAGAGACCTCTGAGGTTTCTTTTGTACTCATTTTAAGGTTGGCATAAGCCTATGCTCTTGACCCTCCACTCGTTTTCTCTGTATACTTTCTCACTTACATTAATTTTGTTCAGGAAAACACATTAACTAAACCCAGCTCCTCATGTCAAAATGTGTAACTTCTTAGATACAGTCTGAGATAGTAAGCTAACAATAGGTATGACTTTGCAGTGTGTGTGCTTTCTAGTCTCTGAGGTACATTGAACTTACTTAAAATAACTTCCATATTTAACTGATGTAGCATCAGTGGTAGTAGTTGCATTTTGTTCACATGACATTCCAGAAGAGGCTACTCTGGCTGCTGGCCCTTCCATGATCTACTCCAGCTCGTGTGTTGCACTCCCAACGCTATCTTCACAGCCACTGTACTTCCTCTTGCTGTCTTAGCAGAAACAAGTTCATAGACTACTGTCAGTGCTCACATTTTGATTTTGCATTGTCAATATAAAGACATGAATGATCAATCCAGAATCTAATTTAAGAAGTTCATGTGTTAGGAAAACCTTTCTTCCTTCTTTTCTTTTTTTTTCATGGTACAGAGGATCGAACTCATGACCTCACGCTTGCCAGGCAGACACTTATGTCACTGAGCTAAATCCCCAGCCTCTTTTTCCTCTTTAATCCTTGTATTTTTAGGGATTTTTAAAAATGGGCCCTGGAGGATTTTCAAAATTGAAATTTTTATTCATTTTTTACTGTAGCATTTTTGGGAACTCTGTGTTAATAAGGACAGTGTTTTTAAAATATCCACTTCTTATTGTAATGGTAGCAGCCTTGCCCAGTGAATGTAAATCTGAGGAAATCTTGCAGTCCATTTGGAAAAAAATGGTTTCAGAATGAGCCCTGGAAATATTTATGCACAAGATGTACTGCAAATGCTTTATCTGTTTATTTTTATTAAGAGTAGATATTTATTTCAGTAAATTTGGTACCACTAATTGTATTTACATTTATTTTCTCAAAATAGGGCATCACATTTGATGAATTCAGGTCATTTTTCCAATTTCTGAACAACCTAGAAGACTTTGCAATAGCCCTAAATATGTATAACTTTGCAAGCCGTTCTATAGGACAAGGTAAGTAACTGTTCTTCAGAAATTAAAAGCAAAAGTTAATTCCACATTGTTTCTAGAATCACTGGCAACAAGTTAATTAGATACCTTGTATCATCCATCAACTTCTCAGAACTGTCTTGTCTATGCTTTCAGTGAGAAAGAGGTTCAGACACTTAAAATTAGCAAATTTAGGGAAATGTGCTAAATTTTTAAAATTTATTTTAGTGCTTAATCTCATATTTTGAAGAAAAACAGGTAATGTTTGTTTAAAAAAAAAAAAAAAGCAGCTCCACAGAGGAAGCCTCATGGAGGTCGGTTACCATGGAGAGACACATGTCTGCCTAGAGAGACTTCAACGTGACCCCGACATTCTCACAGAAAGCTGTTATTTTACCTGATGGATGAAAAGCTAAAAATTGGTTAGCAGAGCCACCTCCAAACCAGAAACTTACTTACGTTAACTGACTTTTGAGAAGGAGGGAATATTATTTGGCATAATTTACAAAAAGTGAAGTTGACACAGGATGCAGAATGCCCCTGTCCTCAGAAGCAGCTGGCTCACTTGCTCTCTGTAGGTTGTTGGCTGGCAGGCCAAGTCCTTTTTCTATTACTGTGTGCCTCCATAGAGCCTTTTAAAAATTCATGCTATCAGGAGACTTTGTGTCTTTTAAAGTGACTTTAACTGTCTGTGCCATAATGAAATTATGTGTTAATTCCCAAGTTTAAATATCAGAGGATAGTGAGGGGGCTTGGATTCAATCCCTAGCACCAAAACAAGCAGAAAAGAACACCACCCCTAAAACCCATCGATAATAAATCCATTATCTGGCTTCACTTATTCATTGAGTAAGAGAAACTAGAAAATTCATATTCATCCTTTCTATAGCCCAAATGTTCAACATGCTGCCTTCTCAAACTGTATTAGTGTTTCCAAACCAAAGTTTTAGAGCCATGCTTCAAAGAATAGTCTTTACTACTATGATAAGCTTTTAAAACAGAAAATCAGCCTCAGCTTACTTGGTTCAGAATAGAAAGTTGCTCTTTTACTTTGTGGAACTTAAAAGTAGAAAAAATTATATTGCTTTTGCAAGTACAGTACTAGGAATATGTCCATCTCTTTCCTTTATTTTGCTAGTTCTAGCATCTTAATTTGGATTATTACTTCTTCAAAGCACTGTAGCGTTAGCCACCTAAGTGCAGTTCCTGCAAATAGCTACTTTCTAATGTTTCCTAGACAACTCACAGAAGAATCTTTCTAAAACACAAAAAACCTTTCTGGGGCGTACCTGCTGTGGAAACTTTTCTAGATGCCTATTGCCTGAAAGGCAGAAGCTCTACGCAGGTTCTACAGATCCCGCATGTCCCTGTTCTAGCCAAATCACACTGTTTTCTTCTGAACATGCTTTGTGCTGTCTCGTTCACGCAAGTCTTCTCAGCTGCCACTTCCCTCACCACTACAAGTTGAAATTACCCCTCTTTCAAGGCTCAGCTCAAACACAAAAATCACAGCCTTTCCAAATCACTGCCATCCTGTCCCTTCCCTCTACACTACAAATAGAAGTAACCACTTATCCAGATACTCATAGCACTTCTTTGTTGGTATATTTGTGGGTGGTCCTGAGATAGTGGTTATTTGGGTAAGTGTCTCATATTCTGCTTTCTCTTGAAAATTTATTTATCTAATAGTTTCCCTGTCACTGAAAATAGATGTTCATTAAACATCCATTGATTATGAATGCATTATTAACCATAACAGCTACTTTTTGCTCTTTTCATTAAATAACAAAATATCTTACACCCTAAAAGGCAGCATGATTAATGAGTAGTCATAAGTTCCATATAAGATCATGACCCATGTATAAAAATCAACTTATTTAACATTCTCTCTAATAATTAACATGTACTAAAAAATAAAGTTAATGGCCTGTTTTTCTTTTTATGTGACATGTATCTAGATGAATTTAAACGTGCTGTCTACGTAGCTACTGGACTCAAACTTTCACCACATTTAGTGAATACTGTCTTCAAGATTTTTGATGTTGACAAAGATGACCAATTAAGTTATAAAGAATTTATTGGAATTATGAAAGACAGACTCCATAGAGGATTCCGGGTAAACTTACACATTTGCAGCCTATTAGTATCCTTTTTAAAATCTTGAGTATGAAAAACACAGGTATTCAGAAACAGTTTATAGACATGAAATGCTTTATTTGGAAATAAAAGTCATAGGCCCTTTCAAAAACAATTTGAGGTGATCAAAAAAGTTTTTTAAAACATTATTTTGACTTGTAATAATTTATTTTCATATTCAATTAATGTTTTTAGCCCAGTTGCCAGATATGTTTGAAAAAATCCAGTCTCTTTGTTGGCTTTTCAGACTTGTCAGTATACAAGGAAATACTTTTTCTCATTTTCTATGGAAAACATTCTCTCTAGGCAACCTGAGATTCCCTAAGTTATCATATATTCACTGTCATGTATATGTAGAACAAATTTTAAAGATTTTACCTGTTAAACTCCTTTTTCTGTTGATATACTGTAAGTAACTATTAGAAATTCAGTGATGTTTTTCTAAGAAGCATGCTATAAAGCTTGAAATATAGCATATTTCAATAAGTTTTAAAATATCTAACATATTTGTGGATGTGCCACAAATAGAAAAAGAAAAAATTCAGCACCTGCCTGGCAAGCGCAAGGCCCTGAGATCAATTCCAATTCCTAGTACCAAAAAAGAAAATAGTAGAAAAAAAAATTTTAAAGCCCCTAGAAAAAGAAAAGAAAAAATTCTATTAATATTAACAATTAGTATATTCAGTCTTCGTTCTTTGGCAAGGATATTTCTTTGTTTCATGTGTTTAAAAATAGAAAGAGATACATCTAGAAAAAGATCAAAATTCATTTGACTGTGTTTTTAAAGACTCAATGACTAGGGCTGGGATATAGCTTAGTGGCATAGCACCTGTCTGGCAAGTGCAAGGTCCTGAGTTTGATTCCTGGTACCAAAAAAACCCCACAAAAAACAAAAAACAATGACTAAATCCACGTTTTGGTAAAAGATGCTGTGTACTTAACTGCCACCTAGTGGCTCTTTGCCACAATGATCAGATAATGTTACAAATACTGAAAATGACAGATAATAAAAATAAATATAAACTTTAATTTTAAACCTTTGGCACTGTATTTCTCTTGTAGGTGCTATTTGTTTTTATTTTATATATTTATTACATACCTCTGAACCCTATAGCATTTTATTTACAATTGTACACTTAATTTTATTTGACAAATATAAATTGTATATATTTATGTGTATTATGTAATGTTTTGATAGATATACACATTGTAGAACTACTGTATAAAGTAATTACTATATTCATCATTTTACATACTTAAAAATGTATGAATGTATACTTACAAAAAAACTAAAAGTTTTCAACCTGTTTTTAAAAACAGTTTTAAAATACCCAATACGTAATTATTAACTGTGGTTACATTTCCATGCAATTAACCTTGAAAACTTATTTATCCTCTCTAGTGGAATTTTCTAATCCTTGATCAACTTCCTCCCATTCTCCCCTCCTCTCTTAGCCTTTGATAACCACCATTCCACTCTACTTGTTTGACCTTTTAGATTACCTTTCAGTGAAAAAAGGCATTATTTGTCTTTCTGTACATCTGAACATCTTTAATTCTCTATTACACAGGGTTATAAGACAGTCCAGAAGTATCCTACTTTCAAATCCTGTCTGAAAAAAGAACTTCATAGCAGATAAGTATGTTAACTTCTATTTTTATAGATTTGTTTTGTAACAATAAGAGAAGAGTTGTAATTTATTTTTTTGTTACAATATTTAGAAAATAACCAAAAGGAGACTAGGGATGTAGCTAAGTTGTAGAGTACATGCCTAACATGGGTAAGGTCCTCGGTTTGATCCCCAGTACCACAAAAAAACATTCTTTTGAAACAAATAGAACTGTAATTTAAAATTTTAAGCCATTAAAGTATCTTAACTTCAAATTTTTTATATTGAACTTTGACTTTTGTACCTGAACAGATAAGGTATAATAAATTCAAGTTGTACTTCTATAATGTAAGATCATTAGCACCTAAGGAGTATGTGTTACTGTTTCTGGTGATCATGAATCTGAACTTCTCTTTTTTTAGTAATTATTTGAGATGGCAGTATACTGGTTTTTTTCCATTTAGTATCTCATTTAGTTCTTGGATCTAGCTGTCTCACTCAAAACAGTGAAAATAAGGGTTCCCAAGTAACATCTAAAATAATTAGCTAGTAACTGACAAATCAGGAGTTAAGCTTTATTTTTATGGTAAACCACCTTATTTATTATTTGCTACACTATTATCAGAGATTGGAATAATGAGAAAGATTCAGGAGATTCATTCTATTTGAACTAACCCAAAGAAATATTTAACACTTGTTACTAATTTTGAAAACAAAGGGTTTTTTTTAAATGAGTTGTAACTACAAAACTTTGATCAGTTGTAGGTTTTGCTTAGTTTTTCACATCAGAAGTTTTCTTTTTTTATAAATGAAGGCATTTGTATATGGCCTGCTGTTTTCCTCAAGCCTGAAGCATTGATACATATTTGTAGCACTGTTTCATAAGTGGTTCATCAGGATATCAATGCAAATTTTTCTTAAAAATTAGCCTGGCACAGTGATACATACCTGTAATTCTAGCACTCAGGAGCCAGAGACAGGAGGATTGCCACAAGTTTGAGGCCAGCCTGAACTTCAAAGAAAGCCCCCATCTCAAAAAACAAAAAATAAAATGAAATAAAATTTTAAATAGAAATATTTAGTCAAACTTGAAAAATATAATAAAATATTTTACTAGGTTCCTTTTTCACAGAATTTGTCACTCCTTAATATGGTACTATTCATGTTGTCTTCCTAAAAGGAAACAGCATTTTGCAAAGTGGCTCTGAAATCTGATGTTTTAGAGAATCCACTTGGGGCAATACTGTTAAAAATGCTATAGCAACAGGTAGCCTTCCTTGTTTATCTCATGCCATAATTGTTATATTTAAACTAACAAGAATAAAGAATAACAAAAGGAAAAAAGGTCTTTCTGGTACCTATTTTAAGGAACTTTATAGGCCCTCAAACAAAATATGTAAAAGTAGACTCATTCTATTTATACATGTGTATAAGCATGTTCTCAATTTGTAGTAAGATCACACTGATCACACTGACACTGCTGGTTCTACATACAGTGCATGCATCTATAGGTGGAAGTGATCTTTCTATAAACCTAGGAGTGAATATTAGAAAAGTTTCTAATGAAACACTGAACTTTCAAAGTCAAGGAAAGGTTGTATGATTACTTTAAGTGTTTGTTTCTTATATTTTATATGGAGTGTTTTTACTAATTTCATATGATTTTCATAAGAATTTTGATTTAATGTTATCACCTCTGAGTTATAGCCAACATAATTAATTTTGTATTTTTGTTTCTTTTAATCAGGTACTCCTAAAAAAAAAACTTTAAAGAACTATTATCTGACAAACACAGAAGCAAAAATTTCTTAGAACAGAAGCAAGTCTGAGATCAGAACATGTAGAAAATGAAGGAAAAGGCAAAATGTTATGAAATTTCTATTTTTCTTGGATGGAATTCTTAGAGATGAAATGCTTCTTCTATCCATGTTTTGTATAACCAAGCTGAGCTTTTGCCTTGATTTACTGAACTCTGCACTGTTTCATTCCTTTCAGAAGTACAAAGATACTTCAGTGACTACATTAGAATGTATTTTAAATGTTTCTATTTATTTATTAGAATTTTGTCTCATTTTAAAGTAATTTATGACTCATAGAATGCAGATCACCTAAAAATGGACAGATTGTTTTTTCCTTTCAGGTACCAAGTATCAAACTCACAGCCTCATGCTTGCCAGGCAGGTACTGTGCCACTGAGCTATATCCCTGGCCCCAAATGGACAAAATGCTTTCTCTGGTTTTGAACTGTGAACTTAATTTGGAAAATGAATATTGCACCTGGACCCTTAGAATTGTTAGTAAATCCCTATTGTTTTCCAGGTTTTTAAGTATATTGAAATAATTTTTGGAAAATAAGTAGAAATTAAGGTATTAAATAACGATGATGGTTTACATTGTACTTTTAACTTTTAAAAGTACTTAAGTATATTTATTGCTTGACTTGTGAAATATTTTGTTGTTGTTTTTCATTTACCAAAGCCAACAGAATGTCTGGTATCCTTTATGTATAGTGTGATGAACTTAAGTAGTTTTTTTTCTCAAAAAATAAATGTCATATTGATAATTAGAAGCAGGGTCAGTTGTAATAGTAGACACTGTCATTATTATTTTAAACATGATGCTGCTCCTGATTATAGGTGAAATATGTAACTCTAGTAAATATTCTACAACTCTAACTTTTCTGTATTGTTAATATATGTCTGTGATACCAAAATGAGTGTTATAAATTAATAATTAAAAGTAGTTTAGAAGACCGATGTATGCTTAGGCAGAAGCTAATATTTTGTTTCTTGCTGAAGGACCACAGGCAAAAGTGATGCCAGTAATAACAAATAACTTAAATATAATTTGTTATTTCAAAAACCATATGTCTTAAGTGGGAAAATAGAAACTTGATTTTGAAAAACTACAAAATTAGGTTTTCAAATGGAAAAATAATTTGATAGTACTTTATAAAAATCTGTTTAAAGACATGTAGTTAATATATGGATACTATACAAAAATAGTGCAATGAATTTAATAGTGCATGTGGAATATAGTTCATTTATCTTTTTAAGGCCTATTTAATGACATTACATACACTCCAATTATTGTATTGCTTTCGCATATGAAAATAAGAAACACTTTGTTTTTATGTTACTAAATGTGAAACTGATTTGCATCATCTTATTTATAGAAGTAATGTTATTTCCAAGAAAACGTTGTCAGCATTGATTTTGTATTTAAGACTTTTTACATTCTTTACCTGATCTATTTATTATGCCAACATATAAATACAGATTTTTAAGTTTAAGAATCACACATAGTGTAATAATTTAAGTTTTCTTTTTTGAAGACTTAGTCAGCCGATTGACTGGGATGCTCACTGATTTATCATGTCCAGCTCTACTGTACTTCACACTGAGTGTTCTCCATATTACTATGTATCTAAAATAATTGAAAAAATGCAGCTTCGTCTTGGGTCCTAAGTTAAATTACCTTGAACATATGTAGTATCTTATAAATGTAGATTAAAAATTGAATTAGCTTGTAAAAATCCTTTAGAATTCATCTCCCAAGGAAGAATATCATGCTACATACATAATCACATTTTTATTACTTGCCAATGTGAATGCATCTATATATAAGGCTGCAACATAATATAAAAATAGGGATAAATAAAATACTCTAATCAAAGTAAGTAGAAAGATAATAGTAAATTTCAGTGATTCCCTTTATAATACCACTCTTGAAATTTATCACCTATGAAATGGAAGTAAAAACACTCACTGGATTGTTGTTTACATCAATTTAAATATTTTTAAATTATTTGAAAATAATGTACTAAATACATGCCTGCTGTTATTTTTGGTATTTCCTTTTATAAACTATTCTTTGCAGAGATTAAGTTATACACAAAACTGTGGTGTTATCATTTTTAGAGAAACCCTATGTGATATGTGATAAATGATCTGTGGTACTTCTCAGAATCATTTCCCAGTAAGAAATTATTTAACTGAAACTCCAATGAATTGTTCTAATTACAAATTGTAATTGTGAAGCAGTCTATCTTACATATTTATATTATTTTAAAATAAACATACCTATCCTTGAATCACAAAACATCATGGTGTACTGTTGTGTAGATCTGTTTCTGAAAATGTCACCTCTAAACTTGGCAAATCTTTGTGGATTGCTAAGCTTCCATTTGATCTTCTGTGGTAATGCATGCCAGTGAAATTGATCTCAGCAACATCTTTGTGGGTAAGTAAATCACAAAGCCATAAAGCCTCTTGAAGTATTTAATTCCACTACTATAAACCTATAGCTATTAGTACTGGAAAGCTTTTCAAAAAATTTACTTATGTGACTTAAAAGATACCAATTTGCTTCACAAAACTGATTTTTTATATCTCGTAAAATAATTAAACCAAAACTATAGTAGCCTAATTTACTAATGTTGGTTTTTTTAGATAGTGCCTAAAATTAGCCAGTTTTCAAATGTATTACTTACTATTCCTACCTAAAACTGTACAGTAAATTAACACTTTGGAAAACCACAATGCTTTTACTTGCAAAAGATGTAAAAATATGAATTGTATAATATTCACTAAGGCCAATAGGAATTCTGAGTGATAAGAAAGCGCTTTTTAAAATTGACAGCATTTTTGCTTTCTTTAGTAACTCACAAGATGATGGTTTGTCACTGAGCATGGTGGTGCATGCCTGTAATCTCAGCACTCTATAGGCTGAGGCAGGAGGACTGCTGCCAAGTTCAGCGCCATCTCAGTCTATATAGTGAGTTCAAAGGCAGCCTGAACTACACAGAGAAACTCTATCTCAAAAACAATGATAATAACATTGGCTTATTTTACAATATCACATTTTAGAGTCTGTGAAGTATTTATTATTCTCTTTGTATCACAGTGAACATTTTGGCATACATCTTAAAAATATACCTATAAAAATGCTTATAAAGAGTGCCTAGAAGAAGTTAAAAACACTATAAAATTTTTCTGAGAAAAATAAATCTTGTTGAACACTGTGAAGGAAGTAAGGGACAAGTGCTAATGAGAAGTAGAATAGGAAAAATAAGAGAATGGTGCGAGAATCTGCATGAAGATTGATTTGTAAAATTAGGACTGGATGGACAGTTCTTGCAAAAACTTTTTTGTCTTGTGGTACCGGAGAGTGAACCGCATGCTAGGCAGGCATTCTAACACTGAATTACAGCCCAGATCTCTGTTACTTTATTTTGGACAGGTTCTTTGCGGGTTGCAAAGGCCAGTCTCAGATCTGCAGTCCTCTTCCTGCCTCAGCCTTCAAGTAGCTAAAAGTACAGGCATGTGCTGGGAAAGCAAATAACTATAAATTAAATCAAAATGACAATATATACAGACATCTCAGATGGCAAAAAGATAGTTGCACAGAATATAGTTAGTTTTATAGTAGCTAGAGGGGTGTAGGGGAGTAGGCGGGGCCATTTAGGTCTCAGACATGGCTCTGAGGCTTTCGCTTGGGTATAGTACCATTGGTGGGTGGCCTGGAAATATCTCAATTTTGAACTACAATTTTACTTCTGGGATTATAGTATCACAATGCACACATGTATAAATATCTGTGTCATCAAGTATTTGTGTTCAATAAAACAAGTGTGAAAGCATGGAAAATAGAAGGTCCATTTATGTTTTTCATATGAAATGATCTGTAGGATATTTTTATGGGAGCACAGAAAGGTATTTAAAAAGTGTGCTCTGCTACTGTTTAGGTTCCAAATATTTTCCGTGCACAGAAATTTAATCCCTTCTGTTATATGCCTGTATTTTTGAAGCTCCAAAATCATTAAAAAACAATTTTTTGCATCTCTTTATCCAGCAGTCTTCATCTCTGCTTCTCAGAGGCACTTTGAAATCTCTTAGCAATTTCTTTGAATATCTGCCTTCATATTTCAAGACAACATACCAACATTTTCATTGACCTAGTTTTTAGATTACTTCCTACCATTGAAAGATAAGAGTCTAGCTCTCTGACACTGTCCATCAAGACATTCAAATTTCTCTTCCCCCATCTTTCAGCATAGAAAGTATCTTTGCCTAAATCAGTTGTTATAGCTTCATCAGTTGATTTCCTAACATCTTACTTTTCCTAGGATTAATACTTTCCTCCTTTTCCGTTTGCTTAGTTTTTAATTATCTCTCATTTACCTATTACCAGTTTATTCTAGGCGTGCCTCCAGTACTATACATATATTGTTCATGTGTTTGAATTCGTCAGATGGTACCTAAGTTTTTATTACTTTAGAAACTTCTTCGGAGCTGTCTATTGTGCTATCTCACCTAGATTGGTTGTTCTCTCGGTCTGTTGCAGCCCTGTCATTCCAAAACCTCCCTCTCTTAATTTGCCAGGTCACCCTCTTTCTTTTCAGTTTTTGGAGTGGAGTACAATGCTCCATATTCCCTGAGAGTGACTGCACAATGAGTTTTCAGTTGTATGCCTTGATGATGCTCTATTCTACCCTCATAATTGGGCAACTAGATTTCTAACTAGAAATCTAGAATGGCACACCTTTCCCCTAATAATTTTGCAACCATTATGTTCTAGCTTTCAGTGTTCTCAAGAAATCAGATGTCATTCTGATTCCTTACAAGTTTTACTTCTCTTTGAAACTCATTTTTCCTCTACGATTCCAAACAGATGTCCTTTGAAAAGTGTCTTTTATCAAGTTTTTGTTCTGGAGACTATATAGTCCTTTCAATCTGAAAATTTTAAAACTCATAGCATTTAATATTGGAGAAAAAACAATAATTTGTTTGAAAGCTTATCCCTCTTTTATTGTCTCACCTAGTTTTTGTAGAACTTGTTATTTATATATTTAACCTCCTTTATTCAACTTACAATTCTTATTTCCTAAATTTTTATTTTTATTATCTGTGTTTCATATATTTTATCTTTTATTCTCATTATTTTGACCTCTTGAGAGTTTTCTCCTGTTCCCTTCATTGCCTGATTTCCTTTTTCTGTTTATCTTTCAAGTGTCTCCTGTTAGAAGTTTTTCTCAAAAATCTGATAACCCATGTGTTCCTATGTGAAAACATCAGAATCTGTAGCATGGGATGAGTTTTGACTTCTGGGCTTCATGCTGGTAGTCTGATTAGGCCTGTTTTTTGTTTGTTTGTTTGTTTTCTTTTGTTTTTTAGTGTTCTATCTTTTTTATTGTAAAGAGAACAAAACAAAATAAAGCAAGTCAGATCAGAACAGTGCAAGCAATACAGGACTTCAAAACAAGACTACAGGAAATCAACAATGGCCACCATAATGTCTCTCATTCTCTTCAAAATAGCTATCCATATCTTCACACATAATAAAACAAAACAGAATAAACCAATCAAAACAAAAGAAAACATTATAGAAAAACAAGGCAATAGGAAATCAACAATGGTTATCATGTCTCTTGATTTCTTCAAAATAGCTGTCCTTACTATAACACATAATAAAATCAAATAAAATAAAACATAATAAAACCAATCAAGACAAAATATTGAAAGCATTATAGGACTTCAAAATGAGATAACAGGAAATCAACAATGATTACCATAATACATCCCATTATCCTCAAAATAGCTACCCATACCATCAGACATAGTAAAATCTAACAAAACAAGGCACTAAAACCAAACCTAACCAAGTTATGAAAACAAGAATTCAAAACAAGATAATGGGAAATTAACAGTGGTTACCACTTTCCCTTTTTTAGCGGTTTCCCCTCCCATCGCTTTCATAATATCTACTGTGTTTTTTGGATCTCTGTAACTTCTTCAGCTTTTTATGCTAGGGATATAACTGTGTTCAGCCATTGAGGCCAAACCATTTCACCCATAAGCATGATCTCCAGTTGTATCCATTTAGCTATAAGAGCTTCGAGATTATCCTACTTTATAGCTAGGTAGCTTTACATTATATGAAAATACTGTATCTTACCCATTCTGTGGTTAGTGGGCAAGTTACCCTTGCTTTTTTCTGGACTTCTGTCTCGTGGAACAATTTTTGTCTCTCTTTTGATTTTAAGTCTATGAATTTCCTTTTGAATTAAGTATGATTCTTATATACAGTATATTGATGGATGTTGTTTCTTGATCCACTCTCCCTGTGTTTCTTTTTATTGATGAGGCCATCTACATAAATGGTTACAGCTAGCATGCATTTGTTCACCTCTGCCATGCTGTCCTCCTGCTGTTGGCTCTCCCCTTTCCCCTTTGTTCCATTGTCCTGTTTAGTGATCCTGAGCTGCTGTTGCTCCAGGATCCATGGTCATCTTTATCTCTCTACAGAATATCCTTCAACACTCTAGGGTTGGCTCTGTGGTCATGAATTCCTTCAGGTGTTCTTTATCATGGAAGTATCTTATTTTTCCTACAGTTATGAAGGATAGTTTCACAGGTACATCAACCTGGTTTGGAAGTGGTTTTCTTTCAGGATTTGAAACACTTTGCTCCAAAGTCTTCTTGATTTGATGGTTTGTGTTGAGAAGTCTGCTGTGGTTCTGACTGGTTTTCTTTTATAGGTGATCTGTTTCTTTTCTTTAACAGCTTTTAATATTCTATTCTTTTGTTGAACTTCTGGGATCTTGATTATTATATTGATATAGATTTCCTTTGGTGATGGCTATTTGGAGTTCTATATGCTTCGCTTCTCTGTGTGCCAGATCCTATTCCCATGTTTGAGAAGTTTGTGCTATTACTTCTGTAAAGTCTTTTTATTTCATTTGTGTTGGCCTGCTTCTCTTGCTGATACATATCACTCTTAAATTGTTGTGTGTGTGTGTGTGTGTGTGTGTGTGTCATCTTGTAGCCAATGAATTGTTATTTACTGTTTCCTTGTTATTTTTAAGAGATCTTTCCTGTCACAATCACTAGCTGTGATCCTGTCTTTAAGGTCTGAAAGTCTGTCTTTGGTCTCTTTCAAGTGGTTTTGATTGACTTTTTAATTTTCTAGATATTTTTTTGAATCTTTTTTTATGCACTGTAATTTCTTCCTATATGGTTCATTTAAGGTTGCAAATTCTTTGTTTGTGATTTCTTCTTTTACCTGAGACATTATTTCTGATCTGATTACTTTTACAATCT